ATGGTATATACTCTTTCATATAGACCTATAAGATATGATAAACATAACGAAATCTATACACCTAAAGAAGATAAATAAGAAAGAGGATCTGGGGTAAGATGATCAATCCTCACTTAGAAAGACAAATGGGATGTGCATTGGACATAGGAGAAAACAAGTAACAGGACAGGAGCCTACAGAGGACAGAGGGCCTCTGAAAGACTCTACCTAGTAGTGTATCAAAGCAGATACTAAGATTCATAACCAAACCTTCGGCAGAGTGCAGGGAATCAAATGAAAGAAGGGGGAGTTTGTATGACGTGGGAAGGATAGGAGCTCCACAAGGACCAAATATATCTGGGCACAGAGGTCTTTTCTGAGACTGACACTCCACCAAGGACCCTGTATGGATATAACCTAGAACCTCTGCTAGGATGAAGCCTGTGGTAGTTCAGTAACCATAGTAAGGGGAACAGGGACTATTTCTGATAGGAACTCAATGGCAGGCTCTTTGACCTCCTCACCCCCCAAGAGAGGAGCAGTCCTGCTAGGCCACAGAGGAGGACTTTGCAGCCAGTCCGGAAGATACCTGATAAAACAGGGTCAGATGAAAGGGGAGGAGGTCCTCCCCAATCAGTGGACATGGAAAGGGGCAGGGAGTAGAGGGATTGGGAGGGAATGAGGGATACAGCTGGGATACAGAATTAATAAAATGTAACTAATAATAATAATAAAAAGAAAGGGACAAGGAAAGGGAGGACAGAAGGGTAAGTGGGGAATATGGTCAATGTTTAATATGTGCTCAAATGAATTTTATAAATAAAATGAAAAAAACAAAGAAAATGGCTGGCAAACCAAGTCAGCCTATTGTAGGGATTGGCATTTATTTTATTTAGACATTACCCATGCCTTAACTATACCTAACTATAAGAATACTGTGTGTCTGAACAAAGAAATTTAAAATGTGATGCTGGAGATCATGGATGAGAGAATTCAAATATTGTGATAAACACATTCTCATACTCAGTTTGAAGGCAGGAGGCAGGATTAAAGCAAACTTACTCTCAAAAAAGGAGACAAAATGGCAGTAGAAAGTATCTCAGTGGTAGAGTGCTTGCCTCGCATGTGTGAGGCCCCAGGCTGGAGTCCTGGCATCTCAATAAAAGAAGCAAGAATTAGACAGATAAGATTCTCTCGAACTGAGGAGACACTCACTGGGTTCTAAGAGCACCTGTGGTGCTTCAGAGGCCCTGAGTTTAGTTCTCAACAGACACAGATGGCTCACAACCTTCTGTGATTCCAGTTCTGGGGGAATCAGTAGCCTCTTCTGGCATCTGCACGCATGCACCCTCCCCAAGAAATGTACTCATAACTAAAAATAAAACCTTTGAAAAATTAGATGGGTGTGGTGTTGTACACCTCTAACCCTAGCACTTGGGAGGCAGAGGCAGGGGGATCTCTGTGAGTGCAGGGACAGCCTGGTCTACAGAGTGAGTCCAGGCCAGCCAAGAGTACACGGAGAGACCTTGTGTCTAAAACATATGAAGAATTCAGATAACTCAGCAGGGAAAAAAAAAAAAAACCTGAAACTGACCAGAAATTAGCAATGTAGGCTTTTCTTTTTAAAATATGCAAATTTCCAGCAAATATATTAAAAAGCTCAACATGATTCACTGGGGAAATGTAAATCAAAACCACAGTGAGGTACCATTTCAGCCCAGTTAGAGTGGCTGGAATTAAAAAAAAAAATCAACAAAAAATGTTAGCAAGGATTCAAAGAAAGGGGAAGTCTTAGACACTCATGTTATGGGAACTAGTGTGGAAATTTCTCAAGACACTAGATATGACCCAACAGCCCCACTTTTGGGTAGAGCTCTCCAGTGGAAATGAGATCCCATATTTGTTGTGTCTCTGTTGACACAACAGCTAGAATTAACTGAGGTGCCCTTTGCTGCGCCGGTGGATGAAGAAAGCATGGTACATGTACACAGTGGAGAGCCAGTTACCCATAAAATGGAATCTTGTCATTTGTGTCCACATGGGTGGGGATGAAGGACAAAATACTAAATAAAATTTAAAGAAAAAACATAAAAAGATGATGGACACCAATATACAGTTATAGGGGGCACAAATTCTGCTGTTCTGGGTAGTAAGGTGCCTACTGTTTATAAAAGTTTATTATGTATTTTATGAAGAACTAAAAGAAGTTCAGAGATCCTCAGGACAAAGAAGTAATGACTGTGTGAAGAGGCGGGGTTGTTAATTAACCCGATTGGCATTGCAATGCATACTGCCAACATATATCAGCTTATCTGAGAGTGGTGTCATGTCAGCACTTAGGAGATGGAAGCAAAAGAACCAGATGTTCAAGGTTATCCTCTGCTATGTAGTAGGTTCAAGGCCAGCCAAGGCTACATGAAACCTAAAACAACCACCACCAAATAAGAAGCAAAATGGCACAGCTCTTAAGAGCACTTGCTGCCCTTCCACTCTCCCAGAGGTCCTGAGTCCTGTTCTCAGCACCCATGTCAAGCAGCATTACTTATAATGCCACCTCCAGGAGATCTGATGCCCTCTTCTGTCCTCTGTGGTACCCATCGCACCACATGGCATACACACACACTCTCTCTCTCTTTTTCTCTCTCTCACACACACATATATACACACCAATAATAATAATAATAAGTAAAAATAAATTTAAAAAATAAACCTTAACAAATAAAGAGTCTGGAGAAATGGTTCAGCTGTAAAAGGCTCACCAAAATAGTAAAAATTAGTCTTAAAAAAACCCAAATTATCATCTGTATACCCCATAAAGATATATAAACTATGTGTATCGAATTTTTTCTTAAGTTCAATCCTTAATGCTATGAAAAAAATTATTTTTGTGGTACTGGAAATGAAACCCACAGTATTATGCATGGTAGGGCAAGCTGTCTGCTAAGGAAGCCATATCCCAAATCATGAGAATTACTTATCATGTAAGTAGAGTCTTCTATTTTGAATTGCTCTTTGCTTAGGGCCTTCACCCGGGGATAGTATTTAATGATAAAAATAATAGTCAGAAAGCATTAATCTAGCCCTGCATATGTGCTAGGCACTGCACCATGCTCCTGGCAGGCTTCTCGGGCGACACGACAAACCTCCAGGAGCCCTTGCTGTTACCATCACCATTTTACAGACAGGAAGAGAGAGAAGCTGAATGGATTGAAACGAGAGGACCAAGGATAATGATGGCCAAAGTTAATAAAAACACTTTTCATTTCCTTTTCTGCATGAGAATTTGACCTTTGTTTGACTTCCTAGCTTCGTTACCCTGGTAACCCGATAAGAACTAAATGTCAACTGTGTTTCTAGGCAACATTACCTAGGATGAGAATGACCCCTGATTGGTCACATATCTGGATCTGGGAGGAGCTGACTACCAGCAAAGGACCTGTGTTCTGAGCCTCTCCGGGGGCTATGACTCTCGAGTGTCTCTTGTGGGGACCCTGGAAGCTGCACCCCTTGAGATGTGATGAGAAATGGCTTTTGTGGGTCCAGGCCTTTTCCCCAGGTAGCTCCTGCCCCTGCCTGCTGTAGCCCTCAGCTCCTAGCACCAGGTTTGCCGAGTGAAGACATGCTTTCTTGCTACTGTGACACTGACCTTTCCCAAACAAAGTCATCTTGTGGGTGTGACTGTTCTACCAGAGCACTGGTTCTCAACCTTCCTGACGCTGCTGTGACCCTTTAATACAGCTCCCCATGTTGTGGTGACCCCCTAGCCATAAAATTATTTTGTTGCTACTTTATAAGTGTAATTTTGCTACTGTTACAAATCGTAATGTGAATATCTGATATGCAGGGTGTATCTTATGTGATATCCCCAGAGAGGGGGAAGACTCACAGGTTGAGAACCACTGGGCTAGACCATAAAAGAATAGTTGATATCAGGCTGCTGGTGTGATGTCATACAAGCAAGAAGAAGGAGGAGGAGAAGCAAGAGGAGGAGTGGAAAAAACAAGGCGGGCCTGTGTATTATGATATGATAACCAAGCTTCCGGCTTTCCTGCTCAGCTCTGTCAGGGAAGCCCTAGGAGGCTGACATTTGGCAAAGCCTAGTTTTCTGCTTCCAAAGTCAGACTCTTAAGGATCAGGAAAACCATGACGATAGAGTAAGACAAATTGGACTTTCTTGGGTAGCTCATTTAGTCCCACCTCCATCATTCTCTGTGCAGCCTGCTCTGCAAGTCATTCTTGATAGTATAGGGGGACAGAACGGGGCTCAGCAGAGAGTCCTCCTGATGTGCCGTGCTTGCTTTTGCTGCTGGAGTCACTCCTCTGCTCGCTTGTTCCTCTCCTCAGAAAGAATTTTATTTTGGAGCTGGTGCTCAAGGTTAGTGGTGAGTAATCAGCTTAGTGGTGAGCACCCAGCTTAGCGGTGAGCACTCAGCTCAGCAGTGAACACTCAGCTTAGTGGTGAGCACCCAGCTCAACACTGAGCACTCAGCTTAATGGTGAGTACTCAGCTTAGTGGTGAGCACTGTGTAGCCTTTATTAGGCTCTAATCACCTATATCTAACTTCATCACTTACTGTGTATTTGGACTATAAGTTTGTCATGTAGACGTGGCTCTGAGACAATCTTTTTTTTTAACTGCTGCACAATATTTTGTTGTTTGAACAAATCATAATTGTTCTCTATTGTTTCTGTGATAAACAATACTGCAGCATGTATGTTTTGAAATTAAAACTATTACTTCAAATGCAAATGAACCTATCTGTGCCTGTGGAGGCCTGTGAGCCAGGCTTGAGTGTTATGATTGTTGCTTTCCTTAATGCTCAACACTTACTAGATTGGATGAAAGAAGAGATGGACAGATGGGAGGAAGGAAGGGAGGAGGGTAGGGAAGGAAAGAGAAGGGGGAAGGGGGAAAGGATAAATGCATAAATCTCTTAACACTACCGAGCCTTCCAAGTCTGTCCGTGAGTCTTGCCTGTGTGGAAGAACAGCACTTCAACTTTGTCTCGTTTCCCTTCCAGATGTTGAAATGCTTCAGGCCAGTGCAGGGAACCCAGTCTCTGGAGAAAGTTTCTCTCGGCCGACAAAGGACTCAATGATCCGCAAGTTTCTAGAAGGTAAGTTGTAGCCGTGATCAGGAAAGCAGAAACTCTGGCACCCAAGGGTCAGGTTGCCACAAAGATAGCATCTGAAGACCAGTGGCTGTCTGCCTCTCTCCACTCCTGCCTGATCTTCCCCATCAGCCAGTCAAGAGACAGGCCAGAGGTTTCCGTGACCAGAGCCATTCCATGCCTGTTTTTATTAACTAGGCACCCACTGTGTGCAGAAAGCGTGGTTCTGGATATCTGGGCTGGGAACCTACAGAGGAATAAGGTATGGTCCCACGGGAGCCTTGGCTTTCTGATAAAGGACGGGGATGAGCATGCTCTTTGTCAGGCAGAGACAGGCAGCAGCACAGTGGTGTGAAGCATGGCCCCAGTCCCTCTTCAGCTCCCCGGGGGGCCGCAGGCAAGCCTCACACCCCCTCCCCCAGTCTCCTCAGCTGTAAAAAGAGATGGCTGCGGTCACAGTAGTGACAAGGCTGGCCTCCGCCTGATGCACTAAGGAGGCAGCTTGCAGCGGGAGTCAAGCAGTGAGAGTCAGCTTCACCCAGGACCAGGCGCATGAGAAGCAGTTGGCGAAGGTTTATAATCAGTGCTGCTGTTATTATCATAGGCACTTTCAAAGGTGTAAGGCGTTACACTCTGTGGGTAATTGCTTCACTCTGCCCAGTCATTTATGATGATGGTGGGTCTGTCAGTCAAGTAACTGTAGAGGCAAGTGTGCTGAGGGCATGAGACCTGGAGGTCAAATGGTTTGGGCAGTGAAAGGGAAGAAACTCTCTACAGCTGTGTAGTAAATCATAGCTTGACCTGCCAATACAGTTTTTATCAGAATTCACCACTCCCATTCATGTGCTATTATTTATGGCACATGCCTGGTGCAGGCTTGGTGGTTGCAATAGACTGTTGCCCTGCAGAGCCTGACACATTTACTACCTGGACCCTTAAAACTCCTGCTCTACAGCTCTCTTTACCTGAGGACGGAGGTCTAGGCGGTCCAGGATCAGCTGTTTGGTAAGTTCTTCAGCTAGCAGCTGGTACCAAGAGAGGCATGGACGAGAGGAAGGATAACCTTTGCTGGCCGACTTCTTTATTTGGCCTCAGGCTTGCCCTTCTATCTTCAGAAATGCTCCAGGGCTCACTTAAGGGATTTATGCATGTCACCCATTCCATGCTTCTTACAGAAGTGTCAGAGGTACAGAGAGGGTAAGCTTTCAAGGTTCTAGAAGCTGTAAGCAGACTATAGGAGCCCAAATTCAAGCTCTTCCCGGCCTCTGAGCCTGGCTCAGAGTGTCTCCTTTGACCACTGATGCCCTATCACACTTTGAATGGAAGAGTTTGGGGAACAGGAACCAAACGCCAGCCTCCTGTCAGCATCATCTGACTTCATCTAATGCTAAGGTGAAATGATCCTTTCCCAGCAGCTGTTCATCAAGCCTCAAGTCTGGGCAAATCCCTGGTGTCAAGAGATGGGTAAGACTCGGTCCTGCCCTGCAGAGGGTGTAGATACATGCTCCAAGTGAGTTCTTTTAGAAAAAAAGAAAAGCATAGTTCAGTGCAAGTAAAACTGTGCTGTGTCCTGTGGGAACGCAAGGAAGTGGTATATTATTTAAGGAGCTCAAGGCAGACCGGTCCTTGCCAGACTACGATAAATTACCCTAATGGCAGGCTGGGCACTGTAACCTCCTCAAGACTCCAGGATAATGGAATGGGGAAGTTGTCTCTTGATACCTGACAGGTATCAAGGTCTCCAGTGCAGGCTGGTGGCGCTGAGCTTGCCAACCTCTCCCCATTTTGGCAGTGGTTCTCAGATCTCAGTGTGCCCCACGCCCATCTGGAGCGCTCTCGAAGGCACAGGCTCACCAGTGTGAGATTCAGCAGGTCGGGGGGGGGGGGGGGGGAGCTAGGAGTTTTCAAGTTCCAGGCGGCTCTGCAACTCCTGGGCCAGTATGTCACTGTGAGAGCTTTGGCTATAAAACAGCATTGTTTGACTGTTCTTCTTTAATCTTCAACAGTGGAACACCCCCTTCATTCTCTGCTGTGCTGTGCTGTAGCTGTTTACTGTTATGAAAGTAATGCAGGAAAATAATAAAAATTCAGTTGATGTAACACACACACACACACACACACACATGAGAATGAGACAAAGCTATGCAGACCTGTCTGGTCTGGTACTCACTATGTAACCCAGGCTAGCCTTAAGCTCTTGGCAGTTCTCCTGCCTCAGCCACCCACCTGCAGAGATGAGAGCTGTGAGCCACCACGCCTGGCCCAAAAAGTTAAAGCAATGAAAAAATTCTCCTTCTCCAACCCCCGAGTGTCCAGAGTTTTTCTGGATATATTAATGTTGTCTACATGTGTCTTCTTTTGTGTTTATTCACAGGTAGAATCAGCACAAACTTTAACTTTTCCACTGGGTAGCCAGTCTTCAGTGTGGCGCTTCTGCAGGCCTCGTGTAGGAAATTCCTTTTGTTGTATGTAACATTTTTTTCACACAGCTGAGAGCATGTATGCTATAAAGCACCAGAACAGAATCAATGGGCTTCAGGAAGTATGTCTTGTGATTTTGATAGTGTCGTGATGCCAGTGGTCTAAGCTCACACCTTTTCTACCAGAAGTTACAAATGGATCTAGAGAACACTTTCCATACAAAACCTCACACAGAAGCTTCATCTACACCATGCATGACGCTGGACTTACCCTCCATCCCTCTGCTCTCATTTCTATCTCCCGTGAATCTAGAAGCATCTCTTGGCCTTCTGCAGCTCTGAAAAGTTATTTTGGGGGAACTACAGATCTGAGGTCTGTGTGAGGAGAGGAAGGAGGTGTGGACATGAGCCTAAGACAAGTGGCCTGGGCCCAGCCATGATGGCCCTCCCTCCACCCATGTGGCCTTCAGCAGTAATGTTAGAAAGAGTTCTAGGTGGGATTAACTTTCTGCTCCCAGTGCAATGTGAATCCTGGCATGGAGCGACATCTGGCAGATAGCAACTATTTGTTTAAATCATTAGTTACTGGCTTTAGATGGCATAATCAGGTCATGATGGGAGAGGCTGAGAAACAGGTCAGAATTCGCCCTGTCACAGGTCCAACAGCCTTGATTGAGTTCCTCTGAGGTGACCTTTGGCCATAGGTCACATGTTTCCTGTAATTTGGCTCCTTTTTGATTCTCTAGTACATTGTGTTTCTAGGGAACCTGGCAGGTTGGGTTGAACTAGACTTGTTTTTTGCTGAGAATTATTCCTATTGGGGCAGCAGGAGCCGATGGCTGTGATTCTCTGTAGGTGCTGACAGAATGGGGAGGATATCACAGGGCCCTTAATAACGCACAGCTTTCCAAAAAAGTCTTTCTTACAAATGCTCAGCTGTGGACAGATGTTGCTAAGGAAGTAGATCCTGTTTATACCTCTTTTCCACAAATCTGTCCCTCCCTCGGCCTCTGAAGCCATGAGGCTTTCTCCTTCTGCAGAAGACGAGACCTCCTCTTGCTCTGATAATGTAGCACATCCAAGCTTTCCGTGGGGTTCCCCAAAGTCTGCCCAGCCCGTGTCAGGAAACTACTGTGAGGGGAGGCAGGCTGACAGGAAGAAGGCTCACATCTGTCACGGGGATCTCTACTTGGCCCACATTTTACTCAGAGTTTGTCCTTCCCTCCATTCTAAGGATGTGACTGAGCATATATTGCACAAAAAGACAAGGTGGAGGGCTATCATCAGGGCCTTTGTCCTGCAGCTGACAGACCAGGGAGGGAGAGAGGCAGGGAGCCCAACCCACTAAGATAATCACAAGACCCCATCACGACAGGGCCATACAGCAAAGGAATGAAACACAGGGAGCATAAACAGCAGTTCAGTGAAGACCGGGCGGTCAGCCTCTCTGGGAAGATCACAGGGTCACAGACTGAAACTTAGAGAGGCTGGCTCTGCCTGGCACGAGGTGGCGTGAAGAAGAGTCTAAGCGAAGGGACAGCCTTCCCTCAGCGGGATGAAGCACTGAGCAAAGCCAGCATGTTTACAGACAGTGGAAGTCAAGTGTTCTGGGAGCCGCTGTTGTCCTCTGGGGTGGTTGGCAGTTCTCCCTGGGTGCCTCACTTTGTTATGGTTGGACAGTGATTCCCAGAGTTCCCTCCTCCCCTAGTGTAAAATGTTAAGATAAGCAGCGACATGGAAATTTACCTTGAGGACAGAACCCTAATGAGTTGGAATCAACCTGGACACAGGAAGCCAAAAGCTCAGAAAAGAGGTAATGAACACCCATATTCTCAATGAATCACTGAATTGTGACCTCCACAGGAAGGAGACCCATAGCCCTATTCCTACATTTCAAACAGGCATCTGAAAAGGATTTGTTGATTGAATGGTGGTCTATCAAAGGAGCAGATCATTATACAGAATATGGGGATTGTGGGGTGCTGGTGGGCAAGCGTCTGTCCTCAGCGGTTTTGTTCAGTGGGGGCAGTGTGAGGGTATGAGAGAAACAGTAGAGAGTGGAAGGAAGGATAGCTCTAGAGTTAGCTTTTCTGGGTAACAGACTATTTCTCAGGGTCCTTGGACAGGTTACTTAAAGCTTCAGTTTTTTTCATATGCAAACTGAGGTTACTGGTAGTAGCAACTCCATGGCTTTATTGAAAACCAGATGAAATAATCATGTTGGAAAATGAACCGAGAACCATGCTCAGCAAGGAGAAGTCATGTTCTGCAGTCAGTGTGGGAAGAAGACTCCAAAGCAGTTGGCAGTAAGGATTCAAGGCATCATTTCACTGGTGCGCAGACACCAGGAAATGGTTCTGGGAGTCCTCGGGCTCTGTAGTGGGTATGCTCTCCCTTGCTTATTTGAGATGGATATCAGAATCCTAGTCATAAAATTAAGGCACCTGAGCCTGTGGCTCCTGCTCTGGCTGGGTCGGTGACAGATGAAGGAGACCTTTGTGTACTCATGGTTGCTTTCATGGGTTCTGGGCACATAGTGCGGGAGATGTCTCAAGGGAAGCCGTTGGCCACAGATTGCCACTTTACAATGTTTCAACGGAGAACATTCACTTGGACTTGCGTTCCACAGGCATGCAATTTCCTGGATCTCTGTACTCAATCATCATTCTCTGTGTTTTAGGTAACAGTGTGAAATCAGCCAGTGTGGAGAGAGAGCAGTACCATCCCCATGGGGAAGATCTTTATCACACCGTGGATGATGAGACCTTCTCTGTGGACCTGGCCAACAGGCCCCCTGTCCCTGTGCCCAGGCCAGAGGCCAATGCTCCTGACCCTCACCCGATGCCTGACAATGAGCCATACATCTCTAAAGGTAAGTGTGGGCAGGGATAGTGCTCATGGGCATGGGGGATGGTGCTTCTGAGGTCCTCAGCAAGAACTTCCTGGTTCCCTGGATTTCTGAACTCAGATTGTCTTCTCCTGGATGGTCTCCATCCAGGATCATAGGCCCATAGATCATAGAGTAGGATGAACTCTGTAGCTAGGCCAGGGACTATGGTTAGATTTGGTGCTGCCTTCCTGGAAGCATTCATGAACAATAGCAAGGACAGAGGTAAATGAGAACCTCGTACATTTTTATCTCATAACTTGCCTGTCATCTCTGTTAATCATTTTAATGGCTGGCACCTGTTAAAATCTACTGGGAACATTCTTTGCATCCAGTCTCTACAGTAACCTTTCAGGGAAGGGCCATGATTCCCATTTTATGGGTGGGAAATGGAGGTTCAAAAGGTCAGTCTCCACACAGCCGTGCCAGGGCTTGGCCCCAAGGACCCTGACTCCACAGCTAATATTTTAGCCACTATCTCAGGCTGTTAGCTTACCCGTGTTAATAAAAGTTGACAAGAATTTAGTTTGACTTCTTCATTATTGTTCCTGGCACACCAGTTAGGTATTGAAGGCATTGTTACTGCACTTCAGAACTTGATTATATTAATATAGTTTTAAGTTCAGCGTGAGCAAAATTGCCAGCTCTATGCCTGCTCCTAACCTGTTATCCATTTTTTGTTTGTTTTTTTTTTTTTGTTTTGTTTTTTGAGTCAGGATATCTCCATGTAGCCCTAACTGTCCTAGAACTTGCTCTGTAGACTCATAGAGATCCGCCTCTGCCTCCCAGCACTGGGATCAAAGGCGTGCCCCACCACTACCTGCTGTCATCCATTTTGAATAGTATTTAGTGTAGCAAATACTGTAGTATTTACTGTGTGACAAACAGTCTCTTGAAGAGAGCAGTTAGCACCCAGCCAGAGCCTTGGGTAACTGAGTTGGAGCTGCCAGATAAAATACAAGATGTCCAGTTAACCCTGGATTTCACAGAAGCAGCAGGTACGTTTTTGCTGTAACTATGTCCCAAATACTTACCTTCCTTGGTTTTGATTTGGTCTTACTCAGTCCAGCAACCCTAAGTTGGGTTGCACCACAGCTATGGGCAGTTCTGTACCACCAAGGTTTGCCATTTGCTTGGGCAGCATCTCCTTTGGTCTGTCCACCGGATATTGCCCACCGCTTACCCCCCCACGCCCCTTAAGCACACTGCTGTGTCTTATCCCGAGGGCTTTCTTTGGCACATGGTGCTTTGCTGACCTCTTTGAGGGCAGAGTGAAAGCCCTGGGGAATTTGCACAGATGCTGACCGTTCCAGCCATGAGTGACGAGGGCTGGCAACTGAATGCTCCAACTTGCTTGTCTCTCTTGTGGGCAGAACCCTGAACTGCACGTTGTGCATTCACCCTGAGGTGGCAACTTGCTGGGCAACCCACCACTTACTGTTTCACCCACTTCCTGTCTCACCTCCATCACCTCCTGAAGTAGTTACCTTTTCATTGCGGTGACAATGCAACTTAGATAAGAAGAGGTTTGCTGCGGCTCACAGTTCGAGGGTGCAGGTCCTTACAGTGAGGGATATGTAGCAGCATGAACAGTGCGAGCTGCAGCAGCAGCAGCGAAAGGTAGTTGGTCCTTTTGTGTCTGCTGTAAGGAAACAGAGATAAGACGCAGCTCAGCTCCATTTTTCCTCTGTATTCAGTGTGGGACACCAGCTTATGGCATGGTGCCAACCTGATTCGTGGTGGGTCTTCCTTCCTCAGTTAAACCTTTCCGGAAATGCCCTCATGGACACACCTAGAGGTTGTGTCCATGGTGATTCTAAATCCAGGCAGGTAGACGGTGAAGCATAACCATCACACTTCCCAGACAGAATGCTAGCAATCAAATCCTGGTTTCAGGGCCAGCTTCTGAGCCCACATAGACATACTGTTCGTTTCTAAATGGGAGAGGTGGTGGCAGCTCATTGCAGAAAGGCAGTGGAGACAGGGGCAATATGACAACAGGGGCAGGGGCTTGGAATAGATTTATCTCTCATTTTTCTGCCCAGCATAGGACATGGGATAAGTCACCCTACCCATTTTGGCTTTAGTTCCCTTATCTATAAATGCTTATCATGATAGTATGTGTCTACATTAATATATGTCATGACAAATGACAGCACTCTGCTACAACTGTATTATGAGGGCCAGATGAAATAGTACAGGAGGAAGTACTTTTACACTGTGATACACTGAATACACTGATACACTGATACACTGGACTAGCTAGCATGGCGTGGCTGCCCAGTGGATTCATCTCAAAGCTAATGTTACATGTTTGCGTGTACCAGACTGTGCTTTAAGCACTTCCTACGCACTAGTCCTTAACTCCCATGACAACCCAATGGAGGCACTGCTTGTGGTCTTCATTCTACATATAAGAAACAGAAGCATGGAGAAAGTCAAGCCTCTTGTCCACATAGGACACATAAGTGGCAGAGCAGGGATTTGAACTGAGGGAGTCCTATTCAGAGCCCAGGGAGCTGTGAGATGACCTTGCCATCCTACCACCCACACAATGTCTCACTTTCCTGTCTCCTCTGTGGACCCGTGCCTGCTCCTCATGAGTGGCTTCATTTGGGTCCCTCTGGAGGGAAACATTTTACCTGTTCTACCAGGTAGAGTTCTGCTCTACGGAACAGATTGACCTACAAGGTAGTAGCTGGCTCCTTTTGTTCTCTAACAGCAGCGTCTTCACAGATGCTCTGTTTTGGGATCCTGGCACATCCTTCCTTCCTTAGCACGTTTCCTCCCTCCCTCCTTACCTCCCTTCTTCCCTTCATTGTGTGTAGTATGTACTGGTGCATGTGTTCCTATGGGTGACTTTGGAGACAGCGCTTGATTCTGGGTAGCACTCCTCAATTGTTCCACCACATTTTTTTTTGAGCTCACCAATTCAACTATTGGCCAGCAAGCTCCAGGAATCTGCTTGTCTCCACCTCCCCAGTAATGAGATTATAGATGTGGGCCACTGTACCCAGCATGTGTGTGGGTGCTGAGGATGTCATGCTTATATAGCGAGTGCTTGCCTAATTTAGCCATTTCCCCAGCCCCTATGACCCTTTCCTCTCTCCCTGTCTGTCTCTGTCTCTCCTTCTCTCTCTCTCTCTCTCTCTCTCTCTCTCTCTCTCTGAGACAGGGTCTCACTGTGTAGCCCTGGCTGTCCTGGAACTTGCTATGCAGACCAGATTGGCCTCGAGCTGAGATTCTCCTGCCTCTGCCTCCTGAGTGCTGGGATTAAAGGCGTGTGTCACCATGGCCCAGCTGACTCTCTTCTTTAACAATGCGGATATCCTCTGCAGATAACCTCTGGCTGGCTTGTCTTTAAGCTGGGGAGCCTGTGTGTGCGCACGTGTTTATGTGCTCTGTCTTTATTTGACATTCTTTGCTCTCTCTCACTGTTTTCTTCTAGAAATGGTATACAGTGGTCACGACTATACTTTTTTTTGTACAAGATTATTTTTTTAAAATGTCTAACATTTTTGTAAATGTGTGAACAGGGCCTCTGAAAAAGAAGTCTTGCCTTCACTTAGACTATTCCTTCTTCCACAGTTTTTGCAGAAAAAAGTCAGGAGCGGCTTGGGAATTTTTATGTTTCTTCAGAGAGCATCAGAAAAGGTAGGCCAGAACTTGCCCTCAACTTTTGGGAAGATTCCTGTAACAAGGACGGCCAAGTGTGACCGTAGCACAGTGGCATTCGTGGCATTCATGGCATTCATGTAGAGACAGCTAAGTGGTAGCTCGGGGACCCTATCTGAGAATCCCTTACTGAAGGCAAAGGAAAGGAGAGGGAGCTCAGGGTACCCTAGATGATTGTACAAACCAACCCCGCAGAGGGCACTAATAGGTGTCCCTGTAGAACACGAAGTTGAGGCTGACACCAACAGCATGGTCGTGGGCCCAGCACCTTGTCTTCACCTGTGCATGGCGCAGCCGTCTTGAACTACCTGCTCGCCTTAGCTTTACCAGGTCGACAATGCTTTATGTCAGTTTGATTAAAGTTACTTCCTTGCCTTTGGATAGCAACTAGGCATCTGGTTTTCCCAAAGGCCTTTTAAGGAAAATTGAAAGGAAGTAAGTATTGCCCGCAATCCCTGATTAGTTTCATGCTAAGCGTAGGCATTCAGTATTCCCCCACTCAAGCCAGCTTAGGAAGGCAGCCCCAGTAGTGTCTAAGCATGCAAAGGGATTCCCAATAGGCTGGGAAAGCTGGAACACACCACACAAACTGAGACATGTGATATCAAGTTATCATCACATGTCCCAATGGCCCCATCATCTCTGCAGTTTGCTCCGCAATGAACTAGAGTTGCAGCCTGGAGAGGGGCTGGCTGGCCTCTTGTGGAAAGCTGTTGTTTAATTGGAATGGAACAGAGGTTGACACAGAACAACCCAAGCACAATCTGCTGGAAACTGAGCATCTAGTTTATGCCAGTGCCATTGGACCTGGATGGCAATTCCATTGGTATTTTGTGCCCATCAGCTCACAACCGTTGTTCAGGGATAGTTCTGAGAGGAGCTCCCTGGCTGGACTCTTCCTGTACACTGTTCTAGTCTGTGAGTGGATTCATGTCAAAAGCATTGTTTCTCAAATGGAGAGCATTTTGCCCTCCCTCACCAGAGGACTTTAGCAATGTTTGGGAACATTTTGGGTTCTTGAATCCAAGGAAAGTCACCCAGTAGGTGGTGGCCAGAGATGCTGCCCATTTACTCCCTAATGCACAGAACAACCCCCCACAACAAAGAGCCCAAAATATCGGCAGTCTCCAGGTGGGGAAGTGCTGGGTTGGCCTTCACAGCCAAGGTTCACCGTGTTCAGGAGACTCTGCCCCTCCCTCCCGTGTTGTGGCTTGGCTTTACTCCAATAGGCTTTGAGATGATCAGCAACTCCTCCCCATTACTCCGTGTCCCCCCACCCCGACCTTTGATCCATATGTCAGTGCTTCCTCTGGATATGGTAGACTGTTCCCTGCAGTCTGCGCCCGTCTCTACTGCCACCTCTTAGGTCTGCTCTCCCTAGCTGGGAGTTACCAAGCTGATCTCTGCCATTCTCTGCAGAGCCACCTGTGCGGCCATGGAGGGACAGGCCCCCTTCGAGCATCTATGACCCTTTTGCTGGGATGAAGACGCCCGGCCAGCGGCAGCTCATCACCCTGCAGGAGCAGGTGAAGCTAGGCATCGTCAATGTGGACGAGGCTGTGCTGCACTTCAAAGAGTGGCAGCTCAACCAGAAGAAACGATCTGAGTCCTTCCGCTTCCAGCAGGTACCCAACTCTGCCACTGTGGAGTTGTTTCAGGAACCCACCCCACCTCCAACCCCCGAGCAATGGAAGAGGCAGCTGAAGCTGTTACATATGTCACTGTGACTGGATGGCTGAATCTCAGAACGTTGTTTGAGTGGCCTTGTCCATGGCTGTGCCTGTGAGTCTCCTTGCCTGGAACCCCTGACAAGCCAAAAGCTTTATGAGGCTGGAGGTCAGGAACAGATTTTCCTGTATCCCCCAGTTCTGCCTCTGCATGTGGCCTTCCACCTCCACTTGATAGCTGCGTTCTTCAGGGTCCCTTTCCTCTCCCTCATAGTTGATCATCGCTCTTTAGGGCATGAAGAAAACTTAGACAAATTCCAAGAAATATGAAATGAACCCTACAAGCTGTATAGTCTAAACCTCTTGAGTTAAAATTTCTCTCTCACACACACACACAGACACAGACAGACAGACAGACAGACACACACACACACACACACACAGACACACCCTGCATATCTCTCTATAGGCACCTTGTAAATTCAAAGGCAAAGATCTGTAAACCACCAAACACAGGTCTGCCTCTGGGAGGGCTCAAGTGAGAGGACTGGGGTTCATAGCTGAGTCTTGCCCTATCTATACAGTTTGAAGATTGCTGTGGTTTTGAGAGAGGATTTCACTATATAGTCTTGGCTAACTTGGAACTCACTATGTAGACCAGGCTAGTCTCACACTTGGAGCAATCCACCTGCTTCTGCTTCTCCTTGTCGGGATTACAAGCATGCACCAAGTCCAGCTGGTTTGAGGATTTTTATGAGAAAATAAACCAACTTCACATATATATTTTATTATTTTTATATGTTCATATTAAGAGCAAGGAAATGAGGCCTGTGGGATTGAGGAACTATATACTTAAACAACAAATCAAGACCACGTCTCTGGCTAGTCATAAGGTCTCCCCAGTGGTGTATACAGCCTCTGGTCTCCCTTTATCTGATGCGATAGCTACTGAGCTGTGGAACCGTCTGACCCTGGGAGGGGAGCTGTGCCTTTTGTGGTGAGAAGCAGGGATGAGTCGGGAGGCAGCCTCGGTTGAACTCTGATAGCCACACGTCAGGCTCCGTGCTCCTTGAGGGCCTGCATCAGTGTGTGTGTGGCCCCTCACAGTGCAAGTGTAATGGCTGTGGCATGGCCTCTGTTTCTCAGGAAGCTGAGGCTCAGACCAGGGAAAGCTGCTCAGATGCAGACTCGCTCGCTGGCTCTCTAGCCTGTGCTCTCTTCCCTGCACCTTCTACCCTCCTGTGTCCCATGGTTTTAATGTGAGGGGCCCTCTTCCCAGGTACCTCCCTTACTAGGGAGTCTGAAGGGGGATGGCACCCTGAGGCATTGAACAGGCCTCTGTCACTCAGGATACCTACAACAGCTGCTGTCCTGAACAAAGTCCGCTCCTGGACCAACACTGTCCCCACCCCCTCTCCCCACTCCTGTCTTCCCTCTAAGTGCTGTGACCATGTGTCAAAGTAGTTACAAGCTATCTGGAGCTGGCAGCCCAGGTCACATCCCAGTTCTGCCACTTGCAGCTGATGACATGGGTCTGCTGTGCCTCCATTCCCTCCCTACCCCATACATGAAGGGAAGCGGGAGAGAGTGTAACCAGGAAAAGCCTTTCACGTGCCTGGTGCCCAGCAAAGATCAGCTTTCTCCCTGTATCTGCACCTAAGCAGCCTCTTTCCTGCACAGACTTGCTCAGAATTGCTGGACACATGCTGGGAGGGGGGAGGGGTTCTTGTTTGCAATGGTAGCATAGCCCAGCCAGTGGACGTACACACAAGTCTATGCTCTGACAGCTCCTGTGTGCCCCCCCTCCGAGACTGTCATGTGCCAGCTGATCTCGAGGACCTACCTGCCTTTCCCTTTGCTTCTGTTTGTTCCTCTGTCTCCTCCGTCGCTGTCACTTGTGAGTGGACACTGTCTAGGCTCTCGTTAGCTCTTTCTTTGTGCTGACAACACTTGTCCAGTTCTAAACTTGCAGCCATTACCTGGGCATGCTCTCCTGAGGTGCGCTAGACCAGAGGCTTATCTAGCAAAGTAGCCTCATTCCTGTTTATCTCTCAAGGCCCTAGACTGACTTTGGAGTTCTCCCACTCATGGAGGTTTCACTCACTCCTGTTCTGTGGGGTTTTTTCCCCTCTCTTGTGTCTTTCCATTCCTCTAGCCTTGCCCCACTGTTGGCTCTCTTGCCTCTTTCGGGCCAGTCCCTTGACCTCTAGGTGAGTCTCCCTGCCTCTGCCTCCTCCACCTCCTGATCATTAGAACTTCATTGTGGTGGCCATCTTATAACTTTCTTTGTGCCCCTAATGCTTTCTAGACAAGGTCCAGTGTCTTTAGCCCACAGTCTCAGACCAACCAGCCCTTCCAGTCTGGCTTCTGGTGGTTCGCTCACAAACATCTTTACTCCAACCAGACTGTTGAAGGCATTTCCCCAGGGCACTGCAGGCTCAGATGTTTAACTCCCCCGGGATGCCCGGGCACTGCTGCTGTGGGCTAACTTGTCAGAAACGAATCTTGACCTCCATGTATCCAGCAAACATTTATTGAATGACTACAGTGGACCAAGTGATTGAATTATAGGAAGGTACAAGACCTGGTCTTTGGAAAGTCCACAGCATCCTTGAAGAGGAAGGGTACAGATGTGCACACATCTGTGTATGTTCTATGCAAGGCGGTATAGCCTGGGTGGTTGGCACAGACGGGACTAAGGCTAGGGGCTCTCTGGGGAATGCTTTGGGAGGCAGACTTGGCCCACGCCTGGGACAGATTTGTAGAAATGAGGGTCCCTTGAGGTCAGAGCACTGAGGAAAGAGCTCAGTGAGATGGAGGAGTGCATTCGAACCTGTGAGCATGTCAGGGTGGGGTTGGTTATGAGGTAGAGGCAGAGGAGGGCAGTGGGTTCTAAGGCTGAGAATGGAGCTGGGCATCTGAAAGCACCTGTGGGAAAAAATTGGCACATTTAGGCACAATGTATTGAGACCTGAGTTTATCAGATACTTGAGTTCCTCTAGGGGCCATCTTGAAAGAGGTGACTGTGGTGTGCTAGGCCCTGCACAAAACGTAAAAGTGTAAAATAAGAACAGAATTCTGCTTTATGTCCAAAAGGTACCATTCTGCTGTGTACTCAAACAACAAATAAATTGTTTTCCAGGAAAATCTTAAACGACTAAGAGACAGCATCACCCGAAGACAGAGAGAGAAGCAGAAGTCAGGAAAGCATGCAGGTAGGTGGCTCCTCCGTGTGCGCCATCATGAAGGGATGGTCACTGTGGCCTGAGTGCACAGACTGCTTGCTTGGCAGCTGTGCGCAGGGCCTTCACAAAGGGAGAGCCTTTGAGGTGACGGTTTTGTCCTGTCCCTTCTGTAAATGCTGAAGTACTGGGAAAGGCATGAGAGAATGGATACATGGGACTCCCCTCCCACCCACACAGCCAACAGAGCAGAGAAAACCCCACTCATGAGAGTGGGCCTCTTTATCATCAGTATCTAAGGACCCACTCTGTGATGGTAGGACCGTGAGTGACTGTTGTATACACTATGGATGGGATTTCTGTCCCCTCCAAATCTCCCCTGGCACCAGCTATGTGACACCACACATCCTGAGCAAGGACTAAGAGCCTTGAGCATGCTGGGCCTCTGTGCTCTACTCTGGTCAGCCTTTTGACAAGAGGAAGCCTTTACATAAAGAACTCAACAAAATCCAGCCCTGCTTGTGTGTTCAGCTGTCAACAGGTGTCTTCTCACGAGCCTGGGCATTTCCCCCCAGAGGCCTCTTGTTCATCTTCCTTCACATCTGCATTCTTATAACTGGGCTGTGGGTCTGTCTAGCTGCCCCTTCTCTGAGAAGCCTCTGGCCACTGTAGGCTTTTGTATTCTGTCCTTGCTCAGGACACCTGTTGTCCTTGCCATGTCTCTTTTATGCCCTAATTGCTGTTAACTTCATTTCCTCATTCCTGCACTCCAAGGTGCAGCCTAAATTTGGCTATTTCTCTTGAGTCACAGCTGAGGCCAAACCACTGCCATCTCTTGACGGAACCAATACAGTAGCTTCTGCACTCATCCCCACTCTTGTCCACGTTTGCCCTTTCCAGTTCAGCCTCTAACCTACAGCCAGTGTCCTTTAAGGAAAAAAGTGCCGTATGGCTGGGTGTAATGGCAAACTACTTTCATCCCAGTGCATATGAAGCAGAGACAGGTCTGTGAGTTTGAGGCCAGCTTGTTTACACAATGAGACTCTATCACAAAAATTAATTAATTAACTAATTAATTAAAAAAACCCACTAGGGGCCAGAAAGACAGTCCAGTGGTTAAAAGTTTGTGTTGCCCTTTTAGGATACTGGTTTTCCGTATCCATAATGGGTGGTTCTTGCCACCTTTAACTCCAACTCCAAGGGGTCTGCTGCCTTCTTAATGCAAAAAATGAAATATTGGAGGGTGCCACCCTCTGCTCTAAGCACTCCGTGGGCTTTTGCCCCACTCAGGGGAGAAGCAGACTCTGTGGTAGCCTCCAAGGCTCCACATTATGTGACCTCTGTACTCATTCTCCCCGATCTCCAGACCCTGGGCCCACGCATTAATAACTCCTTCATATTGCGCCGACACACAAGCACAGGTCTCCCCTCAGGCCTTTGCACTTGCTGCTTCCCTCCACACCTCTACCCGCTGGCTCCTTTTCCTCCACCAGAGGCTTCTCTGCCATTCTTTCAGAAACCCCTACACCTTGCTTACTGCTCTCTTGTTTTCCCTATTCTCTGTATCGCGGACCAGGATTTCCTTAGTCTTATGATCTGGTCATGGTCCAGCGTCCTTCCTCCCCTCTGCCATAAGCACCACGATGGTTTTCCCATGATGCCTAGCACAGTGTTTTCCCAAAAGTAGCTGGCTTAATGAATGTTAATGATAATGATTCTGGGCATGTAGGGAAGAGGAGTCAGGGAGCTCATGCTAGTACTTCTTTTTGAGTAGCTAGATTTTAAATGTATAACCCACCTCCCCAGGGTGGAGGGTGGGGCGGGGGCTCATCATGTCTGCCTACCCTGTAGAGAGTTGGAAAGAGCTGATACAGTGGAAAGTCAGGCTCATGATCTGCATCACCTGGGCTCAGAAAATAGGGTTCTAGGTGGGAAAAGGCTGAAGTGCTTTTTTAAGATCAGAGCGAGCACATGCGCCCAAAGACAGACTCACTGATGAAATGAAATGTGTCAAGCATTTGAGCGCAGGCCACATCTTGGCCTGTGATTTGTTGGTGACCCCAGTGTTCGAAGGTCATGAGGGAGTGGCAGTAGGCTCTCATGCACTCAGGGGTCAGTGGTCTGGCTCAAGAGCTGAGACTTCCGGGTCTCATTATAGCTTTCTTCCCCCGGCTCTGTCTGGTGTTTCTGAAGATTGGAAACCAGGTCAGCACTCACTCACACGGGAGGAGCAAAGGGCACAACAGTCCTTGGGGCAAGCAAGTTTGGGGTTGGATGGCTGCATATCTGGACCGTAGTCTTCATCTGCAAAATGGGAAGTTAACAGGGGAACTGCAATGGGCAACCATGGGCACAACCTGTGCCCCACACAGGCCTGGCACATGGAAGAACTCCAAATCCATGATTTGCTGGTGTCCTCAGATGCAGAGCACTCCAGAGTAAGTGGCTGGGCTGGGACTTGTCCAGCCCAATGGTCATAAGTTTTGAGATATTTTACAGAGTTCGATCTGGGCACTGTGGCACACACCTGCATCTCAGCACTTGGATAGTTAAATCAGGAAGATCAAAAGTTCTAGACCCTTCTGGGCCACACTGTAGGACCCCACAAAATTTGCACAAGGCTCATCAGGCTCTGAAATAACAACTTCCATCCACTAATACCTGCAGTCTAAATCAGAATGATCAATGTGTAAAGTTCACCAAAGAAACGTGTCCACCTTCCCTTCTCTCTCTCCAGATCTTCTGTCATGGAAGTTTGCTTTGGAGGGGGTAGTTATTTTTACTATCTGTGTGAGTGACTATAATTAGTGCTGTGGCTATTAAAAGATTAAACTATGTATATTTGGACACTGTGCTAGTTAACTTTCCACTACTCTAATAAGTAACTGAGATAATCAACTTATAAATAAAAAAGGCCTGGGGCCATCGAGATGGTTCAGTGGGTAACAGGCCCTTGCTGGTAAGTCTGGTGGTCCAAGTTGGATCCTTGGGACCCACATGATGGAAGAAGAGAATTAACTCTCTCGGGTTGTCTTCTGAACTCCACTATCATGCCATGACACTCACATATCCTCCTGTCCCCCTAAACAAAATGTGGTGTGTTTTTTTTTATTGTTGTTTGTTTTGGTTTTTTGTTTTTTTGTGAAGAAAAATGAGTTAATTTTGGCTTGCAGTTTTGTAGCTTTGAGTTTTGCAGTTTTGTGGTCTATGATTGGCTGCCCTGTTATGCTGCAGCCTGAAACAAGGCTGTACAGCAGGACAGGAGAGCGTAGCGAAACAAAATTCTCTCACATCTGGGAAAGGAGACAGAAAGGTGAAAGGGCTGGGGTCTCATTGTCCCTTTCAAAGGCAAACTTCCAATAATCTAAAGACCTCTCCTTGGTCCTTCGTCTTAAAGCTTCCACCTGTTATTAAAAATGAAAATCCCAAATGTCTGAGTTTACCAATAAAGACTTAGGAGTCAGATGCTAGAGTGAAAACTTTCTAGCTCAGAGAAGCATAGAAAGCACCCAGCTGACCTTCTGCTCAGCTCAGGTCCCAAAAGAAAAAAACCAAAAAGTCAAAAGCCCGAGGCCAAAGGCTTGCTAGTTCAGCTGATGGCCCAGGAGGAAAAGCCAAGAGCTATAAGCCAAAGAGCTAAAAGACCAAAAGCCCTTTCTTTTTCTCTACTGTCTTAAATATCCTTCAACTCAAGTCCCTCCTTAATATTTAATCCCTGTCAGCTGTTTCTTGCTCTGAGTCTTGACTCTTTAATTAATGGTTAACTTTGTTAAATCTTGTATATAGAAAACTCTTGGATTAAAGGTGTGTCCTAGGGCTGAGCCACACCAAACAAAAGACAGGTTTTTACAGTTCACAACCTTGGGGTTCACAATGGGATCAAATATCCTGCAATATCCACCACCACCCAATAGCACCATTCAGGGGACCAGCCTCTTAGCACATGGGCATGTAGGGGACATTCCAGGCACAACTCAAGCAGACACAGAGTAATGACTCAGAATGGCAAGCCGGCCATGTGGGGAGGAGGCACACCTAGCACCCCGGGGTGGACCCTTGCTTTTAGCTTTTATTGTGATAAAATATACATAGCAGGGTGGAGAGGTGGCTCGTGGCTAAGAGCTCTTGCTGTTCTTGCACAGGGCCCAGGAGATTCCCAGAACCCACATAATTATCTGTAACTCTGGGTTGTGGTGATCTGGTGCCCTGTTCTGGCCAAGAACACCAGGCTCTGGGTATTGGGAAGTTGGACCCTGTCCTTTGGAGGGAGGCAGGAGGTATCAGAGCAGCTGACAGAGAGAGGGCATCATTAACGGATGGGTAGATACAACTTATGAAACTCCGTAAAGTTTTATTATGGATTTACGTCCTGGCTCAAGGTACTCTATTGTGTGTGGTTTCACAGCCTACTCTTTGGGGGCCCTCGGGATCTCTATTTGTGCATTTACGGGCCACTGGAGGAAAAAAAATCTGCTGCACCAAAACCCTTGAAAACCAATGGTACACATGTCATCTACCAATAAGAACCTTGGGGTTGGTGAGTGGCACTCTCGTCTATGAGAACTTTTCTGTGAATGTAACTCACTTTAACCCCAGACTGACTCAAATTTGGAAACTCCAGTTGCCATAGAAAATAACCCATATCATCATTTTTCTTTAATTTGGGTTGGAACACCAAGGACCTTTGAAAATGGATCCTCCATTCACGGTCTTCAGCCCCAGGGATTAGCTTTGCTTCTTGTAGTGCACAGAGCTGGTGGTGCAGGAAATCAGCAGTGTGGTGCCACTTGTCGAATGCTGTGGCCCGGCGGGAAAGACAGCCAATATTTGTGTTCAGGGTGTGACCTGGGAGGCAGAGCCAGCTGAAGGCCAGGAAACCTGGGTGCTTTTTTTGTTTGTTTGTTTTCTGTTTTTAAACCTGTGTTCTGCTCGGCGCCTTATTGCTGAAGCACCTCTGTATCTGGGGCCATTCTTTAACCCAGTGTGTGAATCAGTTTCCTCATAGGATCATAATCACCCACGGAATGGAAACTTTTGTCCCAAAGCACAAAGGGACGCAATAATGCAGATGAACACCCTTCACAAGAGCTATCGATATAATCATGGAAAGTATTCCTGGCACTGTACCTTCAGGCAAAGAGTGGCCACATTTTAGAAACACTTAGCCTGTTTGTCCCTGACTTTTTGAGCCTTTGACCTCTGGTCCTTTTTTTTTTTTTTTCTGTGTGTTTTACTTTTCTTCTTCATAGAACTGATGGGAAATTAACCACTTTAAATCCATTAATCAGACAGGAAAACATTAAAAAGTCTTAAAATGACTTTTTTTTTAAAGATAGATTAAAAACTGAGAAAGAAGAGAAAGAATGGTATAGCCACATGGGCTCTGGGACTCACTGTTCACCTCATGAAAGCGTGCCTTAGCTATGCTCTGTGCCCCTCGCAGTGCACATGGAAAGAGCTTCTTTAGCAGGGTAACCGAAGAGCCTGGGATGTGAAAAACACTCCCCACTCCACGAGGGACTGGGGAAATGCCTCCCACTAAGGCTCTAGGACCAGTTTCTCTAGAATGAGGAAGGGTGGGGCCTGTGAAGACCAGCAATCCACACTTCGGGTGTTCTTGCCGGCTGTCCACTGCCTAGACCCCGCAGCCCTCACACTGCTCTTTCACACTGTTCTAGTTTATTCACTAGCTTTCTTGGCTGCGGCAAGAAAGTCACCTTTGAACTTCCTGTTGCACTTGCTTCCTGTAAGAACAGAAGTGGTGAAGAGAAGCAGTACTCGGAAGAGAGCACAGACCCCAGGCATCCTCCTTTCTAAACCTTGCTCCCATGGCTTCCTTTAAGACTCGCCTCATAACCCCCTGGGGAGGAAGCTGGCGGCACACCAAACACCTCTGTCCACTAGCACAAGTTATTTATGCTCTCAGGACTCTGGGGTCGAAATCTCAGGAGGGCTGAAGACAAGCCACTGGCAGAGCCCAGCCTTGAAGGGGTCAGGTCAGCATTGAGCTGGGTAAGGATTGTGCCTTTACCATGAATCAGCCTCAGAAGCCACAGTCTCGCTCTGCATGGAGGACTTTGGGACTCTTAGACTGAGGCTGGTGGAATGGTTTATTACCAGCAGCAGTGTTTATGACCCCTTCCTTAGACCGTTGACTAATTCAGAGAGGACAGCTGCATGGCAGCTAGCTAATGGGGCCAGGAGCTGTCCACTGTCTGAGGCAGAAGAGCTCTTCTGTCCATTTCTCGTGTTCTGCCATTCCTCCCCTCTGCTTGGCCACTCTGGATTCTGCGGCTTTTCAGTGCTGAAGAGGGACCAGACTCCAGCATCCCTGTTTCTTTTCGTCTCTCTCTCTCCTCCAGACCCAGGCCGGGAGACAGGTGGACAGGTAGACAGTGAGCATCAAAGACATCTATCAATGACAGCCAACCTGAATCTCGCTCTTCCTTCTGATTCCAGATCTGGAGATCACAGTCCCGATCCGACATTCGCAGCACCTGCCTGGGAAGGTGGAGTTTGGTGTGTATGAGAGCGGCCCCAGGAAGAGTGTTTTCCCGGCCAGGACAGAGCTGAGACGTGGAGACTGGAAGACAGACAGTACATCCAGCACAGCAAGTAAGCAGCACACCCGAGGTGCCCTCACGCCCACAAGCCAGGGGCGCCCTCACTCCTGCACACCAGCTGGCACCTGCAGGCCTTGGCAAACACTCCCAGGAGCCCCACATCTCGACTGGGACCAGATCTGGTCTTGAGAGGTGTGAAGTATGTGGGCTAGTTGGCCTTTGGTATTTGCTTAGCTGTGTGATAATTCTTAGTGTCTTTTCTTTTTGTAAATAGCAGAACCTAATGATTGCCAGCAGGAGTGGGAGGATGTGGCCCAGCACTGCTTCTCGTGTTCCTTAATCTTTCATCTTTCTCTCTTGCTTTATAATATATTATAGATATATTTAAGACAGGGTTTCTCTATGTAGCCCTGGCTGTCCTGGAATTTGCGCTGTAGACCAGGTTGGCCTCAAACTCACAGAGATCCCCCTGCCTCAGTCTCCTGGGTACTGGGTAAAAGGTGTGCCCCCACCACCACCTGGCCTGCTTTATAATAATTCTTAGCATCGATCAGTCATTTACTTAAAGCGAAATGTCTTCATTGATTGTTTAATGACCACAAAACCTCCATAAGGTAGATTCATGCCGTCTTTTCGCTGAGGAGGAAGTGTTCAGGCTTAGTGCCTTTTCCCAGGTTGAGTATCTAACAGAGCTGAGCTGGAGCCAAGCCAGGACTCTTCACCCCTGTTCCAGCTTCTTCTCCAGCTGTGCTAAGGTGAAGCCAAGGACAGCTCATCAGAACTGTAGACAACAATAGACTCAAATTTGAGAATTTCAACATCTACGCAGGCGCTTTGGGGTCTAATTAGGACGCGTCTTCACTTTGGGGGAAGAAGCATGAATGGGAGTCTGATTGTGGCAGGCTGTGCCTGATGTGCAGGCTTCTGGGGACAGCGCTTTGTTTCTATGTGTAGGGCTGCATTTACTGATGTGCACCACGCCCTGAGTTTCTTGTCTGTCTTACACTTCACTGATATCAAAACATCTGAACAAGTGGTGAAAGAGACAGAGAGAGGTGTACTTCAGGACTCAGGTCTCTTAGAAGTTAGGCAGAGGAGGGGGATAGGTGGGAAGAGGGAGGGAGAGTGGGACAAGGAGGAGATGAGAGAGGGGGCTACAATCAGGATATAAAGTGAATAAATTATAAAAAATTTAAAAAAAGAAGTGAGGCAGAAAGTCCACAAATGAATGCAGGTTAACAGGAAGGCTTTCCAAGTCAGTGACTTTTTTCACATCACAGCCCCCTTGAGAATTTACTGTGTGTTCCGGATCTGTTTCCCAGAAAAAACAAACAAACAAAAAACCAAAACCAAAAACCAAAACCTATCTGCCTATACCCCTACACACACACACACACACACACACACACACACACACACACACACACCTATACATAGACAGTTTTGCTTATATAAGGGCACAGGTCAAGACTCTTTACTGTATAGATGGGACATTTGTGACCCAGAGAAGGAAAACATTTTACTAAAGGTTAGATGGACAGAGAATAGCAAAGGTGACAGCAGAACCCAGCTTGCTCTCTTTAGTTAATATTCCTTGTACTTTGACCTGTAGAAACAGCTCTAAAGCCCATCATGTGGCTACATGGAAATGTAGACTTGACAAGAAGAAAACCTCCCTGCACATGAATGGGGGCGATAATGGATACCCAAAGATTGCCTCTGCCAAAGGCAGTTTGAGAATTCTGACATCAGAAGCAGGAGAGAGTTCCCCAGGGACCGCAGCCTTCAGGACGGGGCAGGGGGGGAGTCCCATTCGTGGGGGCTCTGCTTCCCATAGCAAAGGGCAGCCACAGCCGGAAAATCTTAAAGGCAACTATGAAGTGCTGCAATTGGAAAGTTGTTCTCTGTGGGCCTTACTTTGGGGTCCCCTACAGTGAGACAGGGTGGGCCAAATAAGTTGTTGCCCAGAAACAGCTAGCTCCTGGGGCTAGGAAATGCTTCTTAATGGCAGACCAAGGGCTTACCCTCTTCTGTGTGGCTACAGATCAGAGCTTGTTCTTGCTCCAGTTTCTGCTGTGTGACAAACCATGACAAAACTTAGTTTTTTGAAATGCAGCCATTTATTTACACCTGATCCCACAGCCTGGGCACAACACAGAAGGATGGCTTGTGTGTGCTCCATGATCAGTGAGCAGGGGGCACTTGGATGACGACACTCAGCTGGAGCAACCAGGATGGCCTCACATCCTCCAAGGCCTCCCCACACCTTGACCTTTAACTCAACAGCCTGAACTCCTTACATGGCCACGGGGTTGGGGGCGGGAGGACAAGTCCACTGTGGAATTGCCTGTTAAGCCTGGGCTTTTGTCATACTTGCTGATGTTCCCTTGGCTAAAGCAGGTCGGGTGGCTGAGTCTAGAGTGAGTAGAGGCCACACAGGACACTGATGAGGTGAAGCTCACTGGGGGCAGGATGTCATTAAAGGTTAGCATACTGCCTTAAAATTAAAGATGATGACAATAGCCACTTCCATAAATCAGACAACTGCTCCTTGCCAGCTCCATGATAAGCATGTCCCTGTGTGACCCAGTTCATCCAAGACAGTAAAGCTTGTAGTTTCTAGATAACAGTTAGGGACTAGACAAAATGCCATGAGTTTTCCGGCAAGTGAGCAGAGGGTCTGGGAGTCATGTCTAGATCTGACCTTGCTATTGCCAGGGCGGCACCACCTTCCACATAGAACTAGTTCCCTGGCAGGGAGGGAGAGTGGGGGAAGCCAGGCTCGGAGGCACCAGCTGCCCTTTACCCTGCAGCCACACCCTGAGAGCTAGCACCACTATTTTTACTATGTGTGGCACCTCTGTCATCTCTTGGGACCTGCAGAAAGACAGTTGCAGGTTGAACCTGGTTATAATGAAGTAATTAAGTCCCAGTAATTAGTGATATGTTTAAGAGAACAAAAGCTTGATTGTGGAATGGCTGTTGACCTTCTTGTAGATTATCTGGCCCAAAGGTTATAGTATAACTGTCCCCCCTTTTCTTTTCCTCTCACTTATTCATTCACTGGAGACAGAGAGATGAAAAGAACCTGTCTTTAGGGCCTCGTAATGGAGGAAAGCACAAAAACAGCATGAATTAGATGCTGGTCTGAGCCTTCTTCCCTGATGACAGAGATGTGACAGTGCCCCCCCCCCCCAACGTAAGGGCAGAGTTTGGGGGCCAACACCAGAGACTGCTTAGCAGCTGTGAGCCCAGAGGGGAGACACTACGAGGGGGCCAAGGCTTAGAGCCAAGCACTGTGGTTACAGGTCTAGCAACGCCAAGGGTAGGGGTAGTGGGAGTTGATGGTAGTGCCTATGACTCGTTTTACTTCTTGCTGATGGATAAGCTTCAGAGCACTGTGGGGTTCACTGTGGAGACTGATAGATGATTTGTGGGAGCTCAGGCACAGGGCACGGGGACCCAGGCGCTCAGGGGTTGATTTTTGTTGGGGCATTTTAGAGAGTTTTGATAGCATTTATTCCAAAAAAGGAGAACTGAGGAGGTTTGAGCCTTGTCGGCAGCAGTAGGCTGGAAGGTGGGAGGGGGAGGGAGGACATTTTGGTGGGTAAGCTAGTTTATGAGTGAAAACTGAATAAAAAAAGGCTGGGTCATGTGTTCCTAATGGACAAACAGAATCCTTTGAGTTAGAGAAGGGCTGGAGAGATGGCTCAGTGATGTAGGGCTTGTTGAAGTCTTGTTGCTCTTCCAGAGGACCAGGGTTCAGTTCCCAGCATTCATTTGGTGGTTCACAGCCATCTGTAACTCCAGTACCAGGGGACCTGATAACCTCTTCTGACCTTGAGAGCATCACACGCATGTGGTGTACACACACACACACACACACACACACACACATTTAATGCAGACAAAACACACATAAACAAAATTTAATAATTTTAATAAATATAAACTGTTTTGAAATCTGGGGCTAGAGAGATGACTCTGCAGTTAACAGCACTTGGTAACTCTTGTCAAGAACCCAGGTTCAGTCCCTAGCACCCACCCATATGCTCACAGCCATCTATAACTTCATTTTCAGGGGGACCTGACACCCTCTTCTAGCTTCTGTGAACACCAGGGGTGCATGCGTATGACGCATAGACATACCAGAAGACAAACGCACACATGAAATAAAAAATAAATATATTTTTTAAAATCTGCCTACAGTAACACACACTTGTAAGCTCAGCATTTGGGAAGCAGAAATAGGAGGATTGCCAAGTCCAGGGCCAGCCTGGTCTCCAGAGCAAGATCCAGGTCAGCCACTGTGAGGTAACGAAACTCAATCTCAAAACATAAACTTAACTTTTACAATTCATTTTCTTAGTTCTACCTGCATTTCACACTAGCTACCATACTGAATAACACACATTTTCAGAAGGTTCTGTGGGCTAGTGTTATTTTAATGATACAGGTAATAAATTCCTAACTGAAGCGGCTTTCACACAGAATTCCTACAATGAGCATAAATTAGACTCCTGAATGTGTGCAAGCCAGCAAGGGCTTTACCGCTGAACGACACCCACAGCCCTGCCTTTTGTTTGGTGTTGGCGTGTAGTCTTTTATTAGAAGGTTCATCTGTGTCATACATATACCCTGGTCCCATAATTCCTAATTAAGCAGCAAGACTGCAGTTTAAAAAAATAAAAAGCTTGCAGATAGGAGCAACTGAGACTCTCAGTACCTCTGCTTCTGTGCCTGTCAAATCAAAGCTCTAATATCAAATAGGATTTTCCAAGGGATTAAATGGCAATCACACTTTCGAAAGCACTCCACATGCCGTAAGCCCTGGGTAAATGGCAGCTATTAAGCCCAAAGTGGTCATCAGAAAGCAAACTGTTCTGAGTGCTGCCAACAGAAAAAGTGAACTCTAATGAAATGGCTTAAGGTGGCTACACTTTGAAGACTCTCATATTTGAGGTTTTCGTACTGTTTCTGTTGCTATAAATAACTTAGGGCTGGAGTTCCGCGTTTCATTTTCTCCCGGGAGAATCTGTAGTCCAGCTGATGTTGTTTCTGCCCTTTAGGCAGCACAAGTAACCGGTCAAGTACACGGAGCCTCCTCAGCGTGAGCAGTGGGATGGAGGGCGACAATGAGGTGAGACCCCACTCTATCTGTCTGGTCTCAGAGGTCATTTTATCACAAGAAAAGGAGATTCAGGGGGGAAGGAAGCCACACACAAAAGGTCGCATGTTACGGCATGCTGCTTGTATGAAATAACACAGAATGGGCAAATCCAGAGAGACGGAATGTGATTTGGATGAGACAGCTGGCAGGGCTGGAGGACAGGGAATGGGAGGAACTGGCTAATGCATCCGGGATTTCCTTTGCAGATGAGGAAAATGTTTGAGCTTAGAGGGCGGCGGTGGCTGCACACAACTATGAATATGCCAATGCCGTTTTACTTTGCGATGGTTGACCTTAAGGCTATATGAATTTTGCCCCAATGTCAAGGAAGAAAAGGAGGGGGCAGAGGGGAGCATAGATAGAGACAGGCAAATCAGACTGCTTAAGTCACAAGTGGGTGTCTGTAGGAAGGAGCTGCTGAGAAGATTTGGGGATTCCAGGGGCAGTATCATGCTGGGCTTAGATCAGGAGCCTCATCATGTCCTATGACACCATGGGATTGTCCTGTGTGTCCCAGGGCCCAGGGTATTTGGTCTCTGATTTCAATCCTCTCTGTATGCTGGCCTTCCCTGCATTTCTCATGGGTAGCTGCATGCTCACCATGCAGCCGGGAGTCCTCCGAGTTGAGAGGTTCAGCTGCTCTAGGCTGGGGCCCCATTCCGAGTTGGCCCATTTGCATCAGTGTCTATCCTGACCTGATGACCAGGCTGGTTTGAGCCCAAGGGGTCACATGACTAACCCTGAAGACTCAGGAAAGTGGGTCTCAGGGAGTGCTCTCAGTACTTTCAGGCAGGACTGGTGTTAGCAGACAGCAGGCCATACCTGAGGAGCAAGGGTGTTGAGTTTGATTTGTGATAATCTGGGTAAAGTGACAGTCCTTGGCAACACACGGAGGGATGTGGAAAATTGCCATGGGCGCTGGGTTGGCTCTTGGTTTGTGAACAGCCAAAGCCTAAGCACGGTGAGGGCGATCCCATGGTGTCCAGCTGTGGACGCCATTGCCCTCTGTGTGATAGTCACTTTTGTCTCTCACCTTGCATGCTGTAGGATAATGAAGTCCCTGAAAGCATCCGAAGTCGTAGCCCAGGTCCTACCCAGGTGGACGGAGCGCCAGCCATCACCGGAACGCCAGCCATGAGTCTTGAGAGGCCCCCTCGGGTGCCACCCCGAGCTGCTTCGCAGAGGTAACGTGGAAGCTGATGTGAAGTTTCCTCCTCAAGGATCCAAACTCAGGCCCTAATGCTTGTATTACGAGCCCTTTACAAAATGAGCCATCTTCGCAGACTCCCTAATAATTTCTATCCGTCTAGCTAGAATTATGCTCATAGTATTGAATTCCCTTGGCTGTATTGTGGGTTCTGGGCTCCTCCGGAATAGGAGATAAAATTAGAAGTGAAGGCGAACACTGGCCTGGTCTGGGGGATGAGCCAGGCGCTGGAGTGGTCCTGGAGTGAAGTGTCTCATGGAGTTAAGGGTCCCATTATCATTCGTGGGCTTGGATGAGTTATTTAACTGTTTTGTGCTCAGTATTTTTGTCTCTAAAATGGAGTTACTAATTGAACTTCCTGGAGTAGTAAGGGTTGAGCTCTTGGCCTGTGGCAGGAGATTAGAATGTGAGGGTATATTTGTACAGGAGAGGAGTAGACATCTAGGGGTTTTGACGATGAACCCAGGGTAGTGTGACTCACTTGCTGAGTCCTTACTTACGCCTGTGTTCAGTTGGTCCAGCAATCTCTGCAGGAACATTTGTTATGGTTTGTGGAGTAGCAGGAAAAAAAGGTTCAAGGCGGCTAGCGGGGCTGCCATGCCAAGAGGAGGTCGCGGAAGAGAAGTTCAGGCTTATCTTAGAGGGTTCCATCTCTGATGTTTAAAATACAGTGGGTGAGAAAGGAGGACATTTGTGCATATTTAAATGTAAAGGTCCTCTGTGGGATTTGCTGAGAAGGTGCAACACGAAGGCCTCCTGTCTGGCTTTCTGTGCCTCTCCATCTTGGCCGTTGCTGTTTCAGGCTTTTAGCTGCTCCCAGCGACATTCCTATACTGACACCTGCTGCACGAACACTGACAGCCCCAAGCTGCGCTGCACTTACAGGCATGTTTTGTACAGCCTGGGGAATGCACGTTATTATATTCCCATTCCCAGAAAGAATGCATGTGATAAACTAAGCCTGTGCCCTGAGTTTATACTGTGTTCCTTGAAAGTTACTATGAGTTTGGTGGGGTGAGGATTTGCAGGAGTGATTATGGTAATAAATGCCATCATTTAATGGCTTCTTACTATGTGGAAGTGTTTATGTCAAACACATTAAGTACATTACTTCCTTAATGCTCTCCAAAGCCTGTTTAGAATTATCACATCTTGCAGGTGTAGAGACTGAGGCTAGGAAATGGGTGGAGAGATACTCTTGATTGACAGATTTGATCTTTGAGTCATTATGTTACACCTGGCCAAGAAAGTCTAGCTATAGAGAGGAGGAGATCCAGGATCCAAGGCTTTTTATTTCTGCAGGTTGAGGACTCTGGAGCCACGTGTCTTAACAGTACAAAGATAGAAGGTGGCAAGCTCAAAAATGTAGCCGTAGGCTCACGCGAGATTTTGTTGTTGTCATCGACAACACTGTTATTGTTGTTAATGGAAAAAGAAAGAGAAAGAAGAGCAATCAGGAAAACAACTTCCAGAAATTAAAAGATAGAAACTGGGACGCTTTTAACCGTGTGAGAAGAGACGGGAGATGAATCGTCTGGGGAGCTAGGAAGCATGTTGTGATAAAGATGGGGCGAGCAGAGGACTAAAACTCCTTGCTAAGCAAATGGTGTTTGTGGATACCTGTAATTAACAGAACTGGAGGCTTGTGTGCATTTTGGATTGAAAAGGATCCACAAGTATGTGCTTGCATTATCAGTACGTGTGCAGCTTTCAGAATAAAACGAGGCAGTCTTTGGGCAGAGAGTAAGGTGAGGCCCTCTCTGATCATCTTGAAGAGCTGACTGCTGACAGACACAAGGGAGGCTGGGCACATGTCCCTAGCTCCCTCCCCCTGGGAACCTATGATTTCAAGTCCTCCTCAACTTTCTCCTCTTTCTGGTGCAATCTCAGTCCCACATGACCCAGGCTTGGCTTCTTCCTCTGCCGTTTCCTCATGCCATTCGCAGAGCTTCAACTGCTGCCAGTAGACAGCCTGGTACCGCCAGGCTCCACCTCTACCTTCGACTTCCTGCTGTTGTCTGGTGGCCCAAGCTCATATGCTCCATGGTAGCTCAGACACAGCCTCACCAAGCCCCCTTCCACTTTCCACTCAAGCCACTTCCTCATGAGTTCCCAAGCCTGGGGCAGAGATACCATTCTCTCCTTTCTCCAAGCCCCAACCCCAGGAACCCACCTGGAATCCCACCTCTGCTCACAGCTCCCATATCCAGTGTCTCTCCTGGCATTGTTCGTTCCGACCCCCTTTTAGCAATACTCTTCCTGTCTGCTAGCGTCTGGTTCATCTTGAGGTCTACACTTATCTCCCTGTCCCCAGTGGGTCCCTCCTCCACACTGCAGTCAGGTGTAGTTTCTAGAACAGACCCAGCTGGTGTTGCCATTTCCTCTAAGCACCCCAGAATTGGCTACTGTGTGTTTCAGTGTGCCCTGGCCCATCCAGCTGCTAGTCCCATCATTCTCCTGTGCTCGTCTATGTTCCACGACTTAGATGTTCTCAGAAATATACTATTTCTCCAGTACTGTGCCTCCCATTCCATGGAGGGTTCTCTTTCTACCCCTTTCTGTTCTCTGGACTTCCTTGCAGACTTAGCCCAAGCATCTTTCCTCTAGGAAAAGCCTTTCCTGATAGATCCACACTGAGAGCTGCTTCCGGTTGGGTTCTAGTCTGTTACATCCCACGTCACATCCCAAATTACAAACATTGTTTACAATTCTTTCTAAGTGTATAGTGAACTCTGTGAGAGCAGAAATTGTGTGTGTCCATGTGAGGCTAACCTACCTCAGAGCTCTTTGTTTTGTTCTTGTTCCGTTTTATTTTTACACAAGGTATTTCTTTGGCTTGGAGCTTGTGGAGGAGGCTCCAAGCTCCAAGTGGGTTGACTGACAGGCAAGCCACAGGGGTCCCTCTGCCTCTGCCTCCCCAGCACTTTGATTACAATCAACTCACATAACATGCCCAGATTGTTAGAGTTCAGCTCAGATCCTCAGGCTTGCCTGGCAAGTGCTAAATCAAGCAGGCTCTCTCCCCAAACCCAGAAATTGCCTTGGAATGAATTCTTTTTTTCTCTTCTTCCCAATGTCTGGCATAGTAACAGACACATATTGAGAACTTAATATATACCTCTTATGAAAATAGAGTGGTACTGCTTGCGTTGGATTTCCTAAGCTCCTGCACAATTAGCTATCGAGCCAGGTGTTGTGTCTGTAAGTCTCAGTACTCTGGAGACTGAGGCAGGAAGATTTCCAGGATTTTGAGGCTGGCCTGATCTATATAAGAGGAGGCTGTTTCAAAACGAACATTAGCTTCTAGGGAACTTGAACATTACATTAGATGGCGTGTACAGGCACACAAGGCTAAAACCTCATTTTTCAAGAATGCTGTCATCAACAGAGTTGCTGGGTTCTTCAACCAAACTTATCATCAGGGAAAACTCACCTGGGAGTAAGAATGACCAATGTGCATGTGTCTTCAGCTTCTCAGTGTTGGAGAGAGTGCTCTCTGCACAGACCACTCCCCCCTTTGAATGTAATATCCATTCACTTCCCTGGTTCTGTTATAGTCATAAACCCATCTCCCATCTCCCTGACATGGGGCTTCTGATCTTCTGCTGGAGCTGTCCATCAGCATGAAGCTAAACTGATGTGCTTACCAGTATGCCAGTGTGACGGCAAGATGAGAAAGTGGACCAGAGGACATAGGGACTGTCCATAGAGGAAGACAGACTTTAAGGTTCATGGGGAAAGGTCACAGACTAGACCACTCATTTTCATAGTGAGATTTCTAGCTTAACTTTCTGAGTACCTACACTAGGCCAGATATAGTGCTGCTTGCTAATTTCCGTGCCATTTCTAAGCTCCCACATACCTTCATTGGGCAGATGAGAAAACAGGGTCATCCAAGTTGAGTTTTCACACACACACACACACACACACACACACACACACACACACACACACAGAGGGTGGGTGGGAGAGGGAGAGAATTATATATGTAAACATCCATGCTTAGATGCTTCTTAAGGTCTGAGCTTTGCCTATCAAACAGGACTGTCTCCCAATTTCACCCATTGTGTATCTCATGCACACATATACAGTGTCTTGATGGCCAGATCCATGCTCCTTTCACCTGCTGTTTGCCACATCAGGAGTGTGAATCATGGACCAGTGTTTATAGAAAGGAAGAAACAACCTAAATTTGTTAAGTGGTATGGCCTGACCATAGGGCAGAAGGCTGAAAGAGAGATGGAAGGACACCATCCTTTTGTTTTCACTGAATAAAGCCCAGCAGTTCAGTGACAAACACACAAACCCCTCTCTTCTGGGGACCAGAGCAGGGACACCTGTGGTTTTGTTTTTCTGTTTGTTTTTTTTTCCTTGTCTGCCTCCCTCTCTTGTTCCTGAGACAGCCCCTCTGTTCCCATCTCTTGCCATTTCCTTGACCTGTTCAAAAGCAGTGTTCAGGAGGCATTAGCAAATATTTACCCATAGACTCATTCAATCCTGGACTATGCAGCTCCAGGGTTACACAGTTCAATTACACCACCCAACAAAGCTCTCTTTCTGGACGTATTGATTTGCTTCCTGGAGATTAAATATTGGTTTTACAGCACACACGTGGAAATACCATCTGTAATCATTGAACTGGTCTGTAAATAGACCCACCCTGGTGTAGCAGGAATATCACTTAGGACTTTATAAAAATCCATGCAGAAAAACATGAAGAGGGTCTTTTGGATAGGCATGCACACAGTGATCTAATGAGAAAGTGAGAAGCAGGCAATGGAATTCTCTGTCCCTCTTTTTGCTGTCCTCACTGTGATAGAGTCTCTTTCCAGGAATTGGAATTTGGAATTACTGGCATTTTAACATCTAGGCTCTATTGTTATTTAGTTATGACAAGGTCAACAGAACAGGAGACAGTTGCTATTGAGAAGATAGTTTGCTGGATTCATGGTTCTCCAGAATAGGGGCACCATACCACAGGGGTTCATACTAGGACACATGCATGTTGGTCAGGAGGCAGAGGGGACAAAGGTCAGACATGGGCATGGGCTTTTTATTTTGGTTCCCATGAGAAAGAATGAGTAAGGCAGGGTCAAACTGACCTAGGATGACTAGTTTGGATGATTTCAATAGGTGCTGATGTAGTGGGACTATCTCTGTTTGTCTGGGACCTAACCCTGGGATAATAGTGGTCCCAAAGAGGTGATTGGGGCCTTAGGTTACTGTGAGAAATGCAGTCCCTCCAGGGTCAACAAGATCAAGGGTGACAAAGCAAGAGAAAATAAAAGACAGTGAATACAAAGGGGCTTGCGACAAGGATAGTGTTGAAAAGGTTTTCTACTGAGCTCAAGAGATTGTGATGAACAGGGGTGGAGCCTGGGAACTGGCCCTTGTCACCAGCACCACTAGGGATTCATATATGTTCAGGGATCAGAAGCCATGACATCCATGTCATTGAGACAATCACACCGTGTCTTGACCCATTGGTGAAGGAAAGTGTCTTTTGCATAGCAATTTAAATTAGCCACAGGTAGATACCCAAGAATTCTTTGATTTGGTTGAATTTTAATAGAGTTGCTTTATCTTTCTTTGCAGGCCTCTAGCCCGGGATCCCTTCCATCCTCCTCCACCCGTCCCACCCAGAGGTCGCTGATTCTACCTCCTATATCCAGCCTACTTTAGGACTTTTAAGACTTGCAATTTTCAGCCTGTTGATGGAGTCTTCATATTGAGTTTTTGGCGTGACTATGGACCTTGAGATCTACTGTCACTGCTGATGTCGCAGCCCTGCTGGTTTGGGTGGTCCTTGAAGGCATGATGAAATCTGAGACTAAGGACTTTGTTCAACGTCGCCTAGTATATTGGTTCACAATCCAGTTTGCCAACAAGATGAAGACTGTCAAGATACTTAGCTCTCATATCCTATAGCAGGAGCCTAACAGGATTTATGGGTGTGTGCTGAACAAGTGAGCACACTGCCATGAATGTCTATCTGGTTGTACATACCTGCTAGTCCAGCCTAAGCTCTAGAAGTGGCTATAGCCCTCCCAGAAGAGGTAAGAAGTGGCCTAACCTTAAAGTTTCTATGTATGTGCTGGGGTCGGTCACACACAACAAGCTGAAAGTGATTTTAGAAGGGAATTAAACCAGACGCCTCTTCCACTGCAAGCACTCAGGGTGCCCCAGAAGTATGGAAGTAAGAGAACTCAGGTGGTTCTGTGTTGTCACACGTTTTCCCTCTTACATGTGTATGCATGTGCAGACGTATGTTTGTATGTCTGTGGGCACGTGTGTGCACTTCTGTGTGGAGACTAGAAGCAATGTTGGAAGTCTTTGTCAGTCACTCTCCATCTACACACTGAGGCAGTCTGTCAGCTGAGCTCAGAGATTACTGATGCAGTTAGTCTAACTTGCTCCAGGGATCCCCTGTCTCTACTCTCCTGGTGCTGAAATTACAGGCAGATTGCTATACCCCCTTGACATCTGTGTGGATGTTGGGAATCTGAATTCTGGTCCTCATGCTTAAACAGCAAGCACTTTATCTACTGACCCATCTCCCAGGCCCTATCACCACAGTTTCTGTCTCTAAGAAGCTAGTCCCCCGCCCCGTGTCTCTGTCTCTGTGTCTCTGTCTCTCTGTGTCTCTGTCTCTTTCTCTCACCATCAGCCTTCCAGAAGTTCCCCTTTTCCATCTCTCCCAGGGACTGCCAGCCTACTGCTTTCAGGTTGGGCATTTATACCTCAGTATGCTGTCAAACTAGTCATGTTGTCAGGAAACCACTGAAAATTATCAGAACCAGAAGCTTGGAGTCCCAGGTATCCCATTTTTAATTCTGTGGCCTTTATAGGTAGGCCTTAGTTCTGGCCATTGAGAAAGAGAAGGACCCTTGAATGCTTCTTTCCTGAGGAGCCTGAAGCAGTGGAAGAAAGAAGCTAAAATATTTTCTCTCAGACTTACAACTGTTACTACATTACTGCTATGACCAGGCCTGGTAAAACTGTGCAGAGTCCAGAACTGTAATTATGCTATGAATTTTGAGTTCCTGTTATAAATCTACCTTCAAATGACAGATCCTTAATTTTACCTATGTAAATTTTACCTATGTATCAGAAGTGGTTCCTTTAAGGTGTAGGTAATATGGTTGTTTCTTATGAAATCATTGTCCAATCCCACATAGATAAATATTATTATTGATCTATTCAAGTGTATTCTTACTGGGTCCTTTTCTCATAATTAAAGGTTCTCCTTCAATCTCATTCCTCAGTCCAACGCTTCCTGAGTTTAACTTCTGGGGGACTCGTGAGTTGTTGTGTATAAAACACACCATTGATCATGTCCACTGTGTAAGAGTATTTTCACAAAGTGAAATACTAAATTGAAGGTGCTTTTTGAGGAGCCTAGGTCTGATGATTGTGACACACTTGAGAGGTACATAGAGCTGAGGAGTTGGGAGTCCTGAGGAGATTGTCACCGAGCCATCAAGCTGGTTAGTTGTGTAAAGAAGAATCCGGACAAATCACATGTACAGTGTATTCAAAGTTTGATCTTAATGGTTAAAATGAATTCTAATTACCTAGAAAGAGAACCACACATCAAAACACATATTTACTTATCTTTTACATGCACAACACATTAACCCACACGTTTAGGAATGCGTTCTGTAAAATAAAAACATGGATTTTAAAAAAAGTTTTTATTTATTCATTTTACATCCTGGTCATAGCCCCCTCCTTCCTCTCCTCCTGGTTCCACCCTCCCTCTCTCTTTTCCCCTATTCCCCTCCTCCACTCCTCAGAGAAGGGGAATCCCCCTCTGCATCCACTTCAGCATATCAAGTGGCCTCAGGACTGAGCTCATCCTCTTCTCCTGTGACCTGGCAAGGTGGCCCTGTCAGGGGAAAGTGATCGAACAGCAGGCATCAGAGCCCATGTCAGAGTCAGAGGCTTTGTTTTTTAAATACACTGAGGACCAGAAGCTAAAGTATAAGCTGGTGTGTAGAGAGATGGTCTCCAGAGCGTCTCTCTAATGCACTGACGATAGCTTGTCCACCACTTTCCTTCCTCAAGATTTTGCCAGGGAGCTCAACAGAGAGAAAAGAAATAATCATCTTTACTGCAGTTACATTTTCCCCAAAGTATAGATAGAGGCAAACTGGCCTCCATGAACTCAGCCAGCCAGCACCTTTCCTTCATCTTATTAGCAGACAACCAACTACACAAGTAACAACGTACAAAGACTGAGAGTCTAAATGTATATAAGAGGTTGGTGTTCCAAGCGAGTCAGTTCGTTTGGTATATTTAACAGATGCTAACGACTCTTCATGCATTGCTGTAGCCGCGCCAATAATATGCACATGGACCACTCTGACGCCCGATCTTACAAATCAAGCTCACAGTTACTCTCCCCATTGTTTTTTTGTTATTAAAAAAAATAAAAGCAAAGAGTAGCCTCACCAGTTCAGGAACACCCCAATAACGTGCGTGTGTTTGGATTCCTCTCCTGCATGCCCCAGGGAAGCAAGTGGGTATTCTGTGCTGCTCCTCCAGAGAAGTGTGTGAGCTCCGCCTACTTGGTGGAGGAAATATTGGTAATAGGGGTTTTTCTGAGAAAGAGGACTGATTAAATCTGAAATTGGAAGAATCTGATTGTAAAACATTTACTTTGGGTGCATATGTAATTTTTTTTGTTTGTTTCTAAGCAAGTTATGAAATAGAGTATAGAATGGTTTTCATTCATCCCCACTGGCCAGACACTAGGCTTCCCCAGGGTGATGACAGGATGAGTAGGAGGGTGAAAGATGGATTTAGAATCCTCAGGCACAGCTTGGAATTCATTTTCTCATAGAAAAAAAAAAGGTTCCCAGGCTAGTCTGCCCAGGCTTGTTTAGTGTACAGAATGAAAGACCGTTTTATCTTTCTATACAGTAAGAGTCAGCATAGCATTAGGACAAGAACGGTCCCTTGGCAGGCAGAAACTTGGCTTTTATTTTAGTCAGCCGCCTGCTGGGTGAGTTCACATCGTGACTTCATGGCTGTGTGTTTCATCATCTCTGAAGCACGGAACTGTGCATGCTGTAGCGCTCCAGGTTGTTGTATGTCTGAAAGGCCAAAGCAAAGGTAGGGAAGAAGCATGGAAGCAGCCTACTAGGCTCTTTGTGTGGTGGGGGAGGGGAGGGGTGGGTTAGGGTGCATGGGGTGGGTAGGTGGTGGAGAGAAGAAGGCAAGGAGCCAAGATCAAACCCGGGGCCTTCCTTTCCTCCTGTTAGTAAGCACTCTACAAGTGAGCAAACTCCAGCCCCACAGCTTTGTATTATGTGATAGCTGTTATTCCTGGCCTTTTATCGTTCTGACAGAGTACTTAAATTAAACGAAAACCAGAATCTCTGAGTGAAGGCAGAATGTGGTGTTGAGTCTCCATAATCCCAGCATTCTGGAAGCAGAGGCAGAAAGATTGAGTTTGAGGCCATCCTGGTCTACATAGTGATCTCAAGGCCAGCCTGAATTACGTTGAGGCTCTGTCTTGAAGAAGTCACACTAGACAAAAATAAGCCAAACGAAACAGAGTCAGAGACAATGAAATATGAACCACACAAAGAAATCAAAATTGCTCTGCAGTACCCAAACTAAAGTTTTCTTCATTTGTGATTATGTATATTTGATTGAATGAATTGGTCTTTGGAGACAGAGTTTCACTATGTAATCCTGGCTAGCCTGGAACATGGTGGAGGTTCATCTCTGGATGCTGCTAGACAGGCCTGTGCCAACAAACTGCCTTGAAAAGGTAATTTCTTCACAAAGAAAAGAGTGAAACTGAGGATAGAAACCAGAAGATACATTGTCATTTGTACCCTAGTACTTTGATGACCACATTTACCCAGAAAAAAAAAAGACAGAATTTGTGGGTTTTATTACTTGTTTTATGGGTCCTCAGCTCTTGAAACATAATTGGATCTTAGTAAAACGGTCACAGAAAGAGGTTGTACTGTCATCAAGAGATGGACTTTCATTACTTGCACTTCTGCCCTCCATGTGTCAGGGAATAAGGTTAATCTAGAAGAAACTGATAAAATAACATAGTGATAAAACATTCATAATTCTCATTTCCTGGTTTGGCAAAACATTTTATTCTCCTCCTTCTTCTTCTTGGAGGTCTGGGAATGAAAACTAGAGGTTTGTGCATGCTAGATAATTGTTCTACCACATCCTAGCCCCAAAACTAATTTTGATGGTGCCCCCAAGCTCTGGTTCAGTCTTGAGGTTATCAAATTTCAAAGAACTTTGAAGCTATACTTGTTTTTCTTTTATCAGTTCCTTTATCTCTTAATCCTTCCTATACCAGTCATTACCACAGTTTTATTGACTGGTACCATGCCAGAGATCTTGGCACATAGTAAATACTCAACAAAGTTATTGAATTGACGACCTAATATGTCCTTCTCACCACAAAATGCTCCCAGTTCTCCACCGAGATGGTGTGTCTCCTCTTACTGCCCATTCCTGTTTCTACTTGGGGAACACTTAAATGGTTAGTCACATTGTGCATTTTTTGTCTTGTTTTCTTAATATATCCTGCCTAATCTTTAATGTAAGGGTTCCTAATTTTAAACTTTCCTCCCCAAATGAATACTGTATTTTTTTTTCTTGTGTCCTTTTCACCTCCAAGCATTTGCCAGCCCAGTGCTCCCCACAAACCCCAGGAAGGGCAAATACCTCAAATCTGTGGAGGTTGATGATGATGGATGTTCAAGAAACTACTCATCTATCTCAGTGTCTCTCTCATGCTGCCTGCTCTTCAACTGCCCATCATAGCTTCATTCAAAGGCAGTGATTATTCATCCATGGAACATTTGCTGAGCCTTCAACTACAAGCCAGTCACTGTGCTAGATGCTCTGAAAGATGGACAAAGATGAATGAGATTCCCTCCTCTGATTTCTGTAGCAATTACTAATGTTTTGCTGTTTTGCTTTTTAATGTCTTCATTCAGCAAATAGTTGTTGAATGCCTATGTGACAAGCACTAACCTGGCAGCTGAGGCAAATAATAAGCAAATGACAGTTCCTGCCATCAAAGAAGGTCAGACTGCAATACAGAAGAGAAACTGGGATTAGGTAGCAAGAGTGATGTAACATACCAAATGCTATGGGATTCCCAAATATGGGATGCTCAATTGCCCAAGGGCATGATGCAAGCTCTCACTAAAGATGGGTGATTCAGCTGGCCTGGGAAAGACAAAATTAAAGAGAGGAGGTGAAGCAGGGCATTCGATATAAAAGGAATACCAAGAGCAAAGGCTTAGTGCTGGTGAAGTAGCTAAGTGGCAAGGAGCTTGGTCAACATAAAGAAGGCCCTGGGATCCACTCCCAGCGCAGCACAGGTCACAGAGGTATAAGGAACATGGTGTGTTTTCGACACGTGTGACCGAAGGCAGAACACAGATATTAGTGACAGGTAAATGTTCTAGTTTGCTTTCTGCTGCCATGTTAAACACTAGGACCAACTTGGGGAGGAATGAGTTTACTTGGCTTACATTTCCAAGTCTCAGTACATCATTGAGGGAAGTCAGAAGCAGGAGCTTGGAGACAAGTGATGGCTTGTTACCTCTTGCTTGCTCTGCCTTCTTTTTTTTATACAAGCTAGGACCAACTGCCCATGGGTAGACTTTCCACTATGAACTGGGTCCTCCCACACTAATCAGGGGTGGGGGAAGACCTACAGACATGGCTACAGGCCAATCTGATGGAGGCAATTTCTCAGTTGAGGGTTCTTCTTTCCAAGTTTCAAGCTGACAAAACCAAACAAAACCAAAACAAAACTAACTTGCACAGTAAAGTTGGGTCTGATTGTGCAGGTGCATAGTTACTGTGGTGGTTTGACTAAGAATGGCTCCCAAAGCCTCATATATTTAAATGCTTGGTTACCAAGGGGTGGAACTGTTTGAAAGGATTATAAGGATTAGGAGGTGTGGCCTCGTTGGAGGAAGTGTGTCTCTGGGTGTGAGTTTTGGTCTCTGCCAGACCCAGTCTCACTTTCTTTGCTTGAAGATCAGGATGTAGCTCTCAGGTACTGTTCCAGTGCCATGCTACCCACCAGGCTGATAATGGACTGACCCTCTGACATTGTAAGCAAGCCCTCTCTCCCTACATTAACTGCTTTATTTTTATAAGAGTTGCCTTGGTCATGGTGTCTCTCTTCCCAGCAATAGAACAATCATAGACTAAGGAAGTTGGACCATATCCTTTAGCAAGGACATAACTCTCTACTCTCATTACATATGTAGTGCATACTTACATAGGAGACATCCAAACAGGGCTGGGGATATGACTCAGTCAGTAAATTCCTTGTATGAGGATATGGGTTAAGATCCCAGGAACTCAAACAAAAAGCTGGATCTGAGAAGTAGAGACAGGAAGACTCCTGGGTCCTGCTAGCTAGCTAGCCTAGCTACTTGAGCTTCAGGTTCAGTGAGAGAGATTTCCTCTAAAAATATGTGCACAGTGATTTGGAAAAATATGTATTTGTTAACATCTGGCCTCAACACAACACACACACACACACACACACAAACTTCCAAAGATGCCTATTTAAATTTTGAGGCGAATCACTCTGGTAATGATTTGAGTATTCATCATTTACTACTGTTTTCTACAGGTAAACAGGCCTGTTATCATTTAAAACAGAAGCAAACTTCTCTTTTGCATTTGTAAGTACTTCTTGGATATCATTTCATGCCAGTGAGGGCACATCTGATCCACCTTTTAAAGAGCTGTATGGTTGGTAGTACATTAGCATTTAAAAAAAAAAAACCAAAATAAAACACTAAAGCAAACTGGGTCTGGGCTTTCAGCAAGTCACCCAACCTGTGCTTCAGTTACTTTTCTGTGATGTGAACACAGTAGAGGTGCCTGTTGCACAGGAGCTGTGTGACTGTCAAAGAATGCCTGACAGATGAAATCCTTAGGGATGAGTCCATGATTTATGTATTCGATATTCAAGGTGTGTTTTGGACAAAGTGATGTTCTTTGAAGGAAATCACGCCGGCACTCTTTGAGAATGAACAGGGAAGGAAGATTGGTAGTGGAGTCTTGTTCAGACTTCTGCACAGCAAGGCGGTATAGAATATTGGCTGTGAGCTATTGCATGACCAAATGCCAGAATCTGCCCACTACTGATGAGACAATCTTCCTCCAAGTCCCACATTTAGAGGACTGCTACTGTACTTGATAGGTATTCCTGAGTCCTTACTACGTTTTGGTTTGAGATAGGGTCTTACTCTGTTGCCAGGTATTGGTTCTGTAGATAGGTTGGCTCCAATCTTTCTGCAATTCTGCCTCCGAACCCCAAGTGCTGGGATTACAGGTTTGCACTACTATGATCCGATTTCTTTCTTTCTTTTCTTCTTGTTTGTCTCTCACTGTAACCCAAGCAAGCATCCAACATGCAACAATTAATCTTGACCCCCTGAGTGCTGGGGTTACAAGAGTGAGATACCAAGCTTAGCTCCTTACTACCGGCTTAGAGCTCTGGGGAGCTTCCATTCCAGGACACATGACCGAGAATGGGAGAAAAACAACACGCAGGTAAATCAACGAACAAGAATAGAAGTCTAATCAGTACTCGATAATGTTAAAACACCCAACCCACCCTGTAAAAGTTTAATAATCATCTTCCAAAAAGAAGCTTGGGGAGCCCGTGGCGTGGGTTAGATGGAAAGGGGTGAGCCCCAGACCCCAGTGAGACGACCCGCCCTGCCCCGCAGCTAAGGCGAGCTAGGTGCCGGAGCCAGAGTCACGCCAGGCCGCCGAGGGCTGGCGCGCGCAAGGGCCGAGGCTGAGCGACCTGCAGCACGGCGGCTCCGGAACCCTTCAGGTCCGCGGACTGCGCGCGCCGGCGCCCCACGGCGGGCGGCGGTTGCGGCCCCGCGTTGGGAGGACTTCCGGCGTGTGTCGGGGTGGCCGGATGACGTGGCTGAGTCAGAGGAAGAGGCTCGGAGGCCGGGGGGCGGGGGCGGCGCGGAGCGGAGCGGGCGGTGACGGCGGCGGAGGCAGCGGCTGGGCCCGGGCCCCGTGCGTCTGTCCGCGCCCGGTGGATGTGAATCGGCGGCGGCGGAGGAGGAGTCGGTGGGCCGGCGCCCGGCCTGTGGGAGCGCGGAGGATGAGGCCGCTGCCGGGCTCTCCTGGCGTGGCGGCGGCCGCCGCGTTGTTGCTGCTGCTTCTGCCCCGGGCTCGGTCCGACGAGCACGAACACACGGTGAGGCGAAGCGAGCCGCCCGCGGCCCGCTCCCCCGCCTGCCGCCTCGCCAGGCCCGGCGTGGCCTGGAGGCCCGGTGCTGCCCCGCGGCCGCCCGAGCGCTCCTTCCGGTCGGGCATGGCGGGGCCGGATCCGCGGGAGCTGGGAGGAGGCATTTCCGAGCACTCACGGCAGCCTGGGCCTTGCTCCCCGGCTCCGCCTCTCGGGGCTGGGGCCCGGGGGTCGCCCCGTAGCGGGCTGTGGACCCGGGAAACTGGACTCTGTGGGGCACAACACGACAGAAGATGGATGCATGGTGACCCAGGCGCTTGCCAATCAGGAAATACCCATCACTTCACCGCCCGCCCCGGCCTTTTCCCACCCTTCTCTTTCTCTCTTGCCCGAACCGGATTTAAACCGTGGGGTGGGGACAGCTTTAGGGAACCGGAGGTGTGAACGGTTTCCACGTGGACACGTCCTCACCGTGCACGCACTCGGTCCCCAGGCCTTTCCTGTAACTTTCTCGGCGCTCCGCGAGTCCCCAGAGGGCACCCCGTCCGAGTGGTGGGCCTCTAACTGGGACAGCTCTGACCCTAGGGACACTTGAGTCACCTAGCCCTCAGGCCACACCCCCACTCACTTTTGCATTTGGTCTGAAGTTGATTGGCGGTTTATTTAATTGTATTTTCACATCAAAGCTTGTCTGTTAATGACTCTTGGAATGACTTTCACCTAGAACTGAAACAGCAATAGATTTTTTTTTTTTTTTTCCCAGACTGGTAGTTCATGGAAACTGAGATAAACCTAAAAGGTTGTTTTGGCGAATGATTGCTTTTATTTTCATTAATATGACTTTTGCCTGAGAATTTATGTATTTATTAAATATGAAAGATGTGGAGAATGTCTGGTTGTAGCTGATCAGTGACGAAGTGAAGGCATTCTCATTTAAGGGGGCAGACTTTAGACTGTAATTAATAAAACTTTGTTCTATGGCATGGATTAGCCAATAAAAACGATACATTTGGCTATTATATCTTGGTGACACTGCCTTTGTAGGTTTTTTTCAGAGAACATTGAATTGGTAATGTTTTTCTGAAACACTTGTAATTTTTCACTTTAAGAAAAGTGATAAGATGTTAAGCAGTTAAATGAAAAACTATCTTTTCTATCAACTTGTCTCAAAGTAAATGAAAAGTAGTTTTTCTGTATAGTTTATAGAGACCATGAATAGATTGGAGTAATTTTATTTCTTTTAAATTTCCAGCAAGTATGCTTTTGTTAAGTAGTTTAGTATTTACTAATTTTCTTTTAACAGTTCAGTTTCTATGTAAAATCTAGAACTTTTTGTTAGTTACAGTTCCACCATATAGACATAGAAACTTATATTCTACTTTTTAAATCTTGCATTTTATATTGCTATGAAGTTTATGTACCTTAGTTTATCATTTAATGGATTGCAAGTGTACAAAAACTGTAGCATAATTAGCAAATGTAATATTGCTAATATTGAAATAAGTGGCAATTTCAATGAAAATTTTGTTTACTTTTATTTTATATGACAGTTTTGCCAGCATGAATGTAGTATGTTCATCAGGTATGTGGCAGATATTTTAGAGGCTAGGAAAGGGTGTAAGATTCCCCTGAACTAGAGTGACAGGTGTTTGTAAGCTGCCCAGTGTGAATGCCACCCAGTGGGAATCAAACCACTGTCTTAACTGCTAAGCTGTCTCTCCAGCCCCAAATTCAATGAAATTTTATTGTTAGGAATGTCATTTTTTTTTTTTTTAACTTCATTCCTTCATTGATTCACTACTGGGGATTAAGCCAGGCCCTTGTGTGTGGTAGGTATATATTCCACCAATGAATAGAATGTTGTTTCTTTTAAGGCAGTTTCCCTGTGAAGCCCTGGCTCTTCTGAAACTTTGTACACCAGCCTGGCCTGGAATTCTGAGATCCGCCTGCCTCTGTCTCCTGAGTGCTGGGATTACAGGTGTGTGCCACCACATGTGGCTACACCGGGAATGTTTTAATTTTTATGTGCATAAAATATTTGATAAAAGGATATTGCTCCCCCCTCCTTCAGCCTATACTGGAAATAGAGCTCATGGCTTCACAAATGCCAAGCAAGGCTATATCTCTGATCTCAGCTCTTCTCTCAAAAGGCTGTTGTGTGAAGAGTACATAGGAGGCGGTTGCTGGATGAAGGCAGGAGAGTGGATATGCATTGCATGTCCACGTTGAACAGATCCTTTGCGGTTTCTAAGTTTCTTGGAAATATTTCTTGAAACATAGGTCTTCACCTTGGGCAGATAATAGGGATCTAATCAAGTGATAATAAATAATCAAGTATTTTTTTTCTTCCAAAGAGGCAGAAGTAGCTAGTGAAGAAAATATTGAAGGAAGAGGCAAATTGTGAAGGGAAAATTGCTGAATGGGTGTTTAAAAAACACTTGTGTCATTGAGTTATTAATTAAAGAACAGCTTTCATAAGCTAAAGCTTGCCCTTTAGCTGTTAGGACATTACCGATGTAATGCTAATATGACTAGTATGTGCTTGGTCCTGCTGTAAATGATTCCCGTATGTTAACTCACATTCAGTGTGTATTAACAACACTGTGAGGGCCAGAGAAGTGGCCTGGTTGTGGTATGCTTTCTTAACATGTGCAAGGCCCCAGTTTAAAATCCCAGCACCCTAAAAATAACCCTGTGATGTGAATGATAAGCTCTGATAGACAAGGAAATAGGCTTGGAGAGGTAGGTAGTCATGTGTGTGAGGTTTTACCTAGTATAAATAGAGGTAGGATTTGACGTCAAACATCCTTTGTGTCAATAGGTCTTTTGAGGGTCTGGAGAGATGCTCAGAGGTTAAGATCACTGGCTGCTGTTGCAGAGTTCAATTTCCAACAACCACATGGAGGCTCAAAACCATTTATAATAAGATCTGATGCCTTCCTCTGGTAAGCAGGCATACATGCAGATAGGATACTGTTTACATAATAAACAAATCTTAAGAAAGTAATGGAAAAAAGTAAAAGTTATTTTTTTAAAAAACAAGTTTTTGAAAAAAATTTTTTTGTGTTTTTGCATATGGGTTTGGTGTATGTGTACATGTGTGTTTGTGCAAATGGAGGTCAGAGGTTGGTAGTAAGTGTGTCCTCAGTTGCTTTCCATCTTTGTTTCTGAGAGGTTAGCTCACTGGTCCTGATGCTACTCAATAGACTAGACTTCCTAGCCAATAAACCCCAGGGATGCACCTCTCTTCCTCTCCAGTGCTGGGATTACAGGTGTGTATCACCCCTCTGCTTTCTTATGTGGATGCAGGAGAACTTCAACTGAGGCCTCTTCCAAGGCCCACGTGAATGTCTTTACTCAACTAAGCTGATGTACTTTACCACTCGTTTTCCTAAAAATAGTCCTGTGAAACACTGAATAGAACTTTTCAGTGCATGAAGAAATGTTTGAAAGAGTCTAGGTCCACACTGTGTTACTGAGTTGTTCGTACAGCATTAAGAAGGGATTAGGGCCAGCTCATGGGCACAGTGGACTGGTGTGCTATCAGTCTTTTCACCCACTGAGCCATCTTGTTGGCACCCCCTCCCCCCCAGAATTCTGTATGTACTTATTTCTCCAAAGTTCTTCCAATATTCTTAGAAAAGTGATTAGAAGGAAATGTGCTGTTGACTTCTGGACAATGTGCTACTTTTAGTTTTGAAAGGTTAGACTGTAGATTATAGGATAAACTGTTTGAAATTAAAATTAAAGGATACTTTCATCATCAAAGACAGCCTCTTATTACATGATTGAAGGGTCATGGTAGTACATAACTTTGATCCCAGCACTGGGAGACAACGGCAGGTGGATCTCTTTTGAGTTCCAGGCCAGCCAGGACTGCCTAGTGAGAAAAAGAAGTCTTTAAAGTAAGTGAAGAGGGTAAGAAGGATGGCTCAATGGGTGAAAAGCACTTGGGATTTTTGTGAGTTCTGTTTCTCAGCATGATCACAAGATTGTGTCTTATCATTTGTGTTCCTCCCCTCCCTCACACCTGTTACACATGGTCCTCAGCACTGTGCTTAGTGTCTGTTGAGTGACTTGAGTAATTAGCTAACAACTAGGGACAAAGATACTCAGTGCTGGAAGCAGGGAACTTGTCTAAAGCACAGTGAACAAAAGCAGCCTATTCTTCACCTCTGGTCACAGTCTTAGGGATCCTTGTTTAGGGACCCCATTTTTTTTTTTTTTTTTGTAGTCTTCAGGACTTCTGATACGGGATGGATCCCACCTATGCCTAGGATGGCTTACTTACCTCTGTCAGAAACATTTTATAATGCAACACTGAATGTTTTGAAAAAGGTTTTAAGAAAGACTTATTTTTATTTTCTGTGTATGAGTGCTTGGCTTGTATGTATATAAAGGCACCGTGTGCATACAGTACCCACAGAGACCAAAGAGGTCATCAGATCCCCCTAGAACAGGAGGTACAGTGGGTTGTGAGCTGCCATATGGGTGCTGGGAACTGAACCTGAGTTCTCTGCAAGAGCAGTAAGTGCTCTCCACCACTCAAGAAGTATTTCTTTGATTGATAAATGGCAGCGTTTGTCACAGTCTCTGTTAGAAGAATAGGAACTTGAGAAAATTATTTGAAGAGTTATCATGATAACTCGGCATGTCCTACAAGTGAGTTTTGAAAATGCTGAGGAAGATTTGGCTTGAAGGAAATGTCATCCTCGGTCCTGTTTTGGGCTGTACTTAATGATAGATTGAAAGTTGAGGTACAAAGCTATATTAGTAAACAATAGTTATCTCAACACACTGTTCAAAACAAATTAGAAAAAAAATAATTTATTTGTATTAGCATTCTTATGTGTGGTTTTAAATAATTGAAAGACTTTTGAAACTAGTATCTGAAATACTTGCAGAGTGGATTTCTGTTAAGAGCAATTTAAAGCCAACATGTTCCTTTCCTGTAAAATGAAAGGTCGTACTCGGGTCCTCATTCCGAGCTTCTGATCCTGGGTGGATAGCATAATTTCTGAGTTTTTTATTCATATTTTACAAAGAGGTCTGCAATACTTTTTCACTGTTCCTCTCAAGGAAAAGAAAATTCATGACATCTGCCAGAGAGTAAATTTTTGGTGTCCTCACCTCAAGCATAAACAGAATAAACAGGGACCCACCACTGTGACTACTTGAGAAAAAGGTCTTGACTTTTGAGATGAGAGTGCAAGTACCGGATGAAGTTTTTTGCCCTTTTGGGCAGATTAAAGTCTCAAATGAAAAGGTTGTTTGTGTAACGAATGCTGTATACTTTTGTTGCTTTGTATAGCTATGGTGTTTTTTTTGTTGTTGTTTGTTTGTTTTTGGTTAATAGAGCTATCTGGCAGTCAACAAAAGTATAGTTCTAACTTGTAAACTTGGTACTAATAGTTATATAAGTTTGAACAATTTATTCATGAGACAAGGTCTCATTAGGTAGCCAAGGCTGGCCTGGAACTTGCTATGGAGCCTGAGCTGGATCTGACTTAGCTTGCCTCTACCTCAGCCTTCCAGAGGCTGTGATTTACAGGTGTGTTCTACCATGCCTGGCTTGGACAAATTACTTAACTCTCTCTTGTTTTTGTTTTGAATTTGTAAAATGGGTGAATTAATACGGCCTAGCTAATAGAGTTTTGAGAAGATTCCATGTTTACATAGGCTTTAGGACTATGCCTACCTCCTGGTATGTAGTTAAAAGAGGTAGCTAGTGCTGTGTTATTACAAAAGCTGATGAGGTCAGGCCATGCTAGGGATGGTCAGTTAAGGCTTTTCCTGAGGAATTGAGAAAGAAGCATTCAGCACTTCTGAGGGGCAAGTAGAATTTGACTAATTGGAAAAAAGAAGCATTGTGGATTTCAGGGAGAGACAAAAGAAAAAAGGTGGAGTACAGAAGGAAAGGAGTGGAGGTGCACAAGTAGTGTTCAGTGAAATTCTTCTCAAGGCTGGGGGATGGCTAGGTGTAGAAAGCAGGAAGGTGGGCTCTCCTTTCCCATGGCTGCTTCTCCCAGAGGCTTCAGGTGGAAGGAATTACTACCATGCGAGGGGCCTCTGCTTTACTTCCTTGACAGTCATCTCCCCCAGATATATTTTACAGGTGAAATATAACACCCTATTCCTCAGTCATTGCCCAGTGTAGTTTTTCTAAACAAAGTATTTTAAAATAGTTTGCTAGGACTTGTTAGGATGTTTTGGGGAGGGTATTAGAACAGTCTTTACCACAGGTTTCTTAAGAGGTAGATTTTAGTGGAGGAAAAGTCTTCTCACAGTCCCAGAGAGCTCAGGGAATTTGTCTGTAGCTTCAGGAGGGAAAAAGCTTTCCCAACTTCTTACAAGATTCTGCAGAATCTTTCCTTTTGGTTCTTTGACTTTCAAGATGTCTTTAAACATGTTTTTTTCTCTTATGATAGAACTCTGGTTTTTCTGGAGATAGGGTCTCGTATGCAGCCTAGACCAGCTTCAAACCCATAATCCTCCTGCCAGTTTCCTGAGCATGTGATTAGCATATGCTGCCATGCTCAGTGATGATTAATTCTTGACCTTGGCCTGGGAGCTCTTGTTTTTAGGGGCGAATAAAGTCTGGAATGAAGTAGTATTTTAAGTTCATTGTATTCGACTGCATAAAAGAAATCCTGCTAAAGAAGCAAAGCATTGTTTGTGCCTTAGGCCTCACCTGCAGCCTTGAGTGTGCTTCTGATTACTGCTTGAGCCCTGTTCTAGCCCAGAGTCTAGACTGCAGTGGGACACCTTGTTGTTTTGTAACCCTTAAACTGTTTTGGTGTGTGTAGAATAAATGAATGTCTTAGTTTTAAGACATAATTATGTTTAGATTTTTATTTCTAAAGAATTATGTATATTGAGTTTATCTCAAAGGTATTTCTAGAGTATTAACTTCTAGAGTATATTTCCTACCTGTAACTTCTACAGACTCAGCAGGATTCATGGCTGGGTTCTCATTTGTGGGCACTTGTATGCAATGTTCTGGTTTCATGTTGCTTCCTCTCCTTTCTCTTATCTCTGAACCAATGCTGTTACAGTCAGAGCATACTTCAGACTTGGACTAAGTTGCCAGTGAACTTCACAAGTCAGCATTTCTTCAGTGTTTACCAGTGGGTGGTAGTAAATACTTTTGCACATTGTAACATTTTTGCCTTGGTGAATAGGTTTTAATTCTTGGAACTCTGATCAGAGAAAAGTGGTGGCTGTAGATCTCAGTTTGGAGAATTCTGAGAATGTGAGAGTAGAATAGAGTACTTGGATTAGTGCTCTGTGACTGTGCATTGGATGGGAGAACAGTGATAATACACACGGGTTTGTCAATCCTACCCCCAAGTAAAAGGAATAGTTATGGGTGGAGGTGTATGAGACAATAGTACTCACACCGTAAATCATTTATTTCTTCCATGGAGATTATCTGTAGCTGCTTTTCTAACCTACTTGAAGTAGCTTATGGTTTTCTGTATTACTATTCACCCGGAACTTTTTCTCCTAAAGCAGGATTAATTATTCCTTTATTGTTGCTACAATAGCTCTTTGTTATTGTAATCAAAACCCCCTTTTCCATTGTTAATCATTCATTTACCTGTGGTTCTATGTGGATTGTGAATTTGAAGGGAAGAACTTTTTTTTTTTTTTTTTTTTTTTTTGAGACAGGGTTTGACTTATGTAGCTCTTGCTGATCTGGAACTCAAAGTCACCTCTCTCTCCTTTCCATGTGTTGAGATTAATGTGTGTGCCATTATGCCAAGCAAGAAGGATATTTTTTGTCACTATGTTCTTAATGTCTAATTTAGGGTTTGCTGTATGCTGCCTGTGTGTTTGAATAGTAAGGTAGTTTTAATTTCCTTGATTATCTGAATGATGCCTATGAACAGTGGAGTGTTTGGTATTTTTTAGGATGGTGATGGTAGTATGAGCAGGAAGGAAGAAACAGATTTTTGGGGTAAGAGTAGATAAGCTAGTGGTTTGGTGTTCTCTGGAAGAACACTTTGGGTTTGAGTCTCCATGCCTAGAGAATTGTATCATTAGGAAAACAGAGTTATAAATGGTAGATTCAAGTAGGGTTAATTTGGTAGTGAACCTGATAGATTTTTGTTGAAACTTTATTGATCAGTTTTCGATGGGAGAACTGAAGATAGAAATTCCTATAGTTGCTGATTGGATAGTTTCCTGTTAAAGGATTCTTTATGTTTAAGAGATAATAGGGTGGAAACACATTCTGTTGAAAGCAGAATCTTCAGTGGGCAACACAGTTGTAGGTGCATGCTAGACACTATATAAATACTACTTCATTGGATTAGCTTTTATTCGGTAAGTTGACATGAAGGCACCTGAGCATTTTCTGATCTTGTAGAAGACCAGAGTTTGATACCTAGCACCCTTACAGAGCAGCTCACAACTCCTTGTACCTCCAGCTCCAGGTACATCTGATGCCTCCAGGGACAGACATGCACAAACACATACACATAATTTAAAAAGAAATATTTTAAAAAAGAGATCTGATAATGTCTTGTTAGTACTGTTCTGAATTTTAAATTCATAGAGATTTAAAAAAAACCTTTGACAGATCCCACTGCCAGGCCGTAAAAAGGTAAAGTTGGCTGTCCCAGGCCTATATGTGGCTATATATAATATTCACTAATAATTAGAGGTATAATTAAAGAAATATGCATTCAAGGTGCGTCTTTCATGACAGATGGGATGAACTTTTGCGTGTTCTTGTGTTGGTTCACAGTGTTGTTTTCTTTTTGTAGTTACTGTATTCTCTAACACTTTGATCAGTAGCTGTGAGAAGGACTAAGAGAGGGAAGGTTGTGTTTTTTTGTGCTGATGTTAGTTTGTTGGGGGAATGGTGGGGAATCTAATGATAACATGAAGAAGCTGCCTATTTTGTTTCCTCTTTCCGTGAGCCGTTTCCTTGTCAAATTATGCTTATCATTATCTGATAGCAATAAACCTACTTTTATATGCTGTTGACTTTGTAAAACAAAGTTTGGGGAAAATGGATCCTGGGACCACATCAAGATAAAATTCTAAGAGTTATGAAGCTTGGTTTTGAAAGTGTGCACATTGATACTCCAGTTATACTCCGGTTAAGTTTCTTCTGTTTCACCTTTTTAGCATCTTGAATGTAGACAGTGCACTTAATTGAATTAGATGTTTTAAAAGCACGTCTTGGTTTTCTTGTTACAGTATCAAGATAAAGAAGAAGTTGTTTTGTGGATGAATACTGTTGGACCCTACCACAATCGCCAAGAAACATATAAATATTTTTCACTTCCATTCTGTGTGGGGTCAAAAAAAAGTATCAGTCATTACCATGAAACTTTGGGAGAAGCACTTCAAGGAGTTGAATTAGAATTTAGTGGCCTGGATATTAAATTTAAAGGTAAGTCAACATTAGCAATCTGTGCTGACCCTGTGGCCAGGTAATTTTATTGTATGGAGTTGTCATGCACGTCACAGGTTTTTTAGCAAAAGGAAATTGTTAATGTTTCCCTAACATAGTTCTTTCTGAAAATATTTTCTAGTAAACTCATTAGATATATATATGGCCAGGGAAAGCCTTCACAGAATTCATAATGTAATTTTTGGAGGAGTGGGACTTTAAAGAGGTATGTAGCTACTGGAAAGTTTTATGTAAAACCTCACATTTAACTTGTACAGTGTACTCCTGATGTATTTGGTATTTCTATATTAAGTCATCCTCAACACTTGTAGAATATTAAATATTTAAGTCAAACTGTTGGCTTTGAGGGGAAGTTTCTTTATTGGAGCTGTCAATGAGACTGTATGTGTTTTTTCTTAGCACTTTACTCTGTGAAGTCTGTGAGAGCATTCCCTGCACAGGCATTTGTAAAATCATGGGAAGTTAAAAATTTTGATCAAGGGGTCTTGATTTTTTAATAGAATATGGTTTTGTTATCAGAAGCTTTGCTGTTAGCTTTATTTCTTTTGCTTCATTGATTGTAGTAAAATTGTTTGCTCCAATTTTGACTTCATTTTGTCCATGGATATGTAATATGAATTGTAACTGCCTTCTGATATTTTTAATGCATTGGAAGGATGCTATGGCATGAGATAGAAAGATGTTACTTTGATTTGTTAAATTGTGTTCATATTTATTAGATTTTACATCTTACTGTTTTGAAAATGGGTGTGTGTATTTATACCTCCTTCATAATGTCCCTTGAGACTTAATTATAAAATTGAGTTGTAAATTTAAACCACAGTGGTGTGACCTATAATTTATGAGTGTTGAAAACATACCCTGAGGCTTATGTTTTAATTTAATAAGGTAATTGAAATATTTAATCATAAATATGAAGAAACTAAATGGGAGTATGTGATCTGTGAGAACATCAATGCTATATTTATCCACCTAGCCTCTCCTTTTTCATATTTGGTAGACCTGTCTCATTTAATAGAGAGGAGCCAGGGAGAAAGAGAGAGAGTAAACCCACAAGTCCTGTTTTGGCACAGCGATTTCATCAGATTTGAAATCCTTACACCTTACTTGTCTGAAGAAACATTCAGCAGTCTTAGCCTCCCTTTCTTCTAGTAACTCCTTGAGATCCGAGATGGAGATAAATAGTCAGAGGCCAATTTCATGGCCTTAAAAGTAAAGTTAGTTTTCTTTCCAGACTAAGCTGACTATGTGAGGGTGAAAGAATTACCTGTTGTCACTCTCTGAAAGGGTAGCAGTTTTTGAGGCCTTGTCAGCTGTGCACCTTCAGCTCATATGCTGCCAAAACAGCTGCTAATTTAGCTAGTTCAAGAGAAATAACCAATGGAGATTGGATTCTGTTTCCTGCTACTGTAGGCTTTTGCTTCTTTGGATCATGGGTAAAGATGATTGTGCTTTGAAATATTTTTTACAAAGTTTGAAAGGTAGAATGTACCTTTGGAGGCCCATCATGCATACTAATAATGATACAGAAACTGGAACATTGTCTCTATGTGAACCACCGATGTCTGTCTGTCTGTCTATCTACCGATTATTTTGAAGTGTTTTAAGATGAGCTTGTGAAGCTCAGGCTGGCCTCAGCTTTGTTATGTATGTGAGGCCAGCCTTGAGTTTCGTACTCTTGTCTCCACCTCCTGATTACTGGGATTACAGACACTTCCCACTGTATCCAGCTAACATTTGTTTTTAGTCCTTCATCTTAAGTGTTTGACTGTTAATGATTCTTCTGAAGGCATATTCATATACAGTAAAAATTTTAAAACATACACACGCACACATACATACAGAAACATCTTCCTTTCTCCTTCCCTCCCTCCCTTCTTTCCTAGCAGATTCTATCAGGCTCACTGGATTGGTACCGTTTTGTAGTGTGAAGGTCACTAGAGAGATTGTTTTAAAGAACTAACCGTAGTGTCAAGTCTGGAAAGAGACTATTTTAGGTCTGGGTTGTGTTGGATGCCTCTCACTTCAGGTTTTCTGCACAGCCTTCTCTTTTTCTTATATGCTGGTGCTAGACAAAAATGCTAATTGAGACCATTTAGAGAAAATACATTAAATATACAAGGACAAATCTATCTTAGGCATCCTTGAACTAAGCCTGATTTTATTCCTTTCTAATTATGGATACTATCTCTTAGAACAGTGTTGTTACATAGAGTAGAAAGAACTTGTGTTTTAGAATGAGAGATGGTACAGCTCTGTTCTGCCTCTGCCTTCCTGTGTGGTTGCAGACAGATTATCTTTGATCTGTAGTTCTTGTCTTGGAAGCATGGGGATAATATACCTGATAAAATCATTGTCAGTATTAATTGAGATAATGTACTTTTTAAACTAATTCTGCTTGTTTATGTATTAGCATTTCTGAAATGTTAAATTAGTGTACTACTTGTAGATTTCATGTATTCCCAAACTACTGTACTCCTGCTGGTTCCGTTAGGCTAGTGTATTCTCACACACTAGCTGCTAAGACTGAGAAAGTTCTTAAGAAATTGTCTAGCATCTGGACAATGTGTACCTACTTACTTTTATTACAGTTGGTTCCTTTTGATTATTGGATGATCTGAGATTATAATTCTTACAGTTTTGTTGGCTCGTGTGTGTGTGTGTGTGTGTGTTATTACCATATGGACCAGGCTTGCCTAATCCTAGAATTTATTTTATATTCTTTGCTGGTGTTTGCAGTGGTTGCCTTTGAACTTATGATCCTCTGCCTCAGTCTCCTGAGTGCTGAAACCACAAGCATGAGCCACCATGTCCAGCTTGGATAGTATTCTTAAACACGGGAGGTCACTGCCCAGCATCTTTCCCCATTATTTGAGAATTCTATGGGATAACAAAGGGTATTAATATTTGAACAATAATGACTTTTAGGGATTATTCCTTTCCACTTTTTGTTTTAGTTTCCTTTTAAATTATTTCTTCTTTAAATAAAATACAGATGACATTTTGTGTTTCCTCTTACCTTGAGTAAATTGGTAAATTTAGAATTCTGCAGATAGGGAGAAATGCCAGTGCTGTTTAGATACTTATGTACTTAAAGTTAAGTGATTCTATCTTGGCTGCCTCTCATTCCTATAGGCATTTCCAGTCTGATATCTGCCTGAATGGAATAGCTCTGACTGCCCATGGGAAAAGAACTTGGAGTAACAGGCCCCCTCAATTAACTTGAAGATTGTTTTCTTTTTTATTCTTTATTTTTTTTTGTACTTTTAAAAAATTCTTTATTAATTACACTTTATTCACTTTGTATTCCCCCTGTGGTTCCCTCCCTCCTTCTGTCCCAATCCTTCCCTTCCTCCACCCCCTGCATGTATACCCCTCTCCAAGTCCACTGATAGGGGAGGTCTTCTTTTTCTTCCTTCTGATCCTAGTCAATTAGGTCTCATCAGGAGTGGCTACATTGTCTTCTTCTGTGGCCTGGTAATGCTGCTTCCCCCTCAGGGGGAGGTAATTAAAGAGCAGGCCAATCAGTTCATGTCAGAGACAGTCCCTGTTCCTATTACAATGGAACCCACTTGGATACTGAACTGCCATGGGCTACATCTGTGCAGGGGTCTTAGGTTATCTCCATGCATGGTCGTTGGTGGAGTATCAGTCTCAGGAAAGACCCCTGTGCTCAGATGTTTTGGTTCTGTTGCTCTCCTTGTGGAGTTCCTGTCCACTCCAGATCTTACTGTTTCCTACTTCTTTCATAAGATTCCCTGCACTTTGCTCAAAGGTTGCCGGTAAGTCTCAAGATTTTTACTGAAGGCAACTTCACATTGTTTTCAGTACCTAGCTGCTACTGTTTCCACTGTTACTACTTCTGAAGCCTCCAGAAATTCTCTAGAGGAAGGTCTGCCTCTAGTCGCCTGTAGCAGGGGATAAGTTGAGGGTATTCATTTAGCTGTATGGTGGGCAGAAGGGAGAACATGAACATCTAACTTCATACGTACTCTTCTTAATGTCTTCTTTACTGTTGCTTTTTATCATCTTTGATGTCATCATTGTCATCTTCTTCATCCTAGGAATCAAATTAAGTTACATCCCCAACCCTTGATTTGTTTTGTGACAAGGTCTTATGAAGTACCCCAGGTTAGCCTCACACTTGTCCTTCTGTCTCCTGCATTCTAAGTCCTGAGATCAAAGGTGTATGCTGCCATCATGTCCACTCCATATAAATATTTTCATGTAACTACTCTCTATATGTTCAGCCCTTACACCTGTCCTTTACATTTCAAGGTCTGTGGTATGTATCTTAGACATTCTATGACATCAGTCCTTCTCCTTCCACCCCCACATCCCTGGCAGCTTTCTTGCTCTGTTTTCCCCTGTGTTATGTATATGTCACTGGTCACATTTTCTGTTTTTCCCATTCCAAAAATTTGTTTGGCTCTTTTCCATTTGTGGTGCTTTGAATGAGGATGTCCCCATAGTTCACGTGTTTGACTACTTGGTCATCAGTTGGTGTTGTTTGGGTGGGTTTAAGAGGTATGGCCTTGCTGGAGGAAGTATATCACAGGAGGTGGACTTTGAAATCAAGATGTGAGCCCTCAGCTTCTGCTACTGCTGCCACGCTTTCCTGCAGTGATGGACTCCTGTGCCTCTGATACTGTAACTGTTATGCCCAAATAAACCTTGTTTTTTGT